CTATTATATACCTAGCCGCCTTATCATATAGCCCTATCTTAGTAGCACTATTGCCCACCATTATAGAAGGGGAGGAGAAGTATAGAGGTATAGAGGTATATAGGCAACCCCCCACGATTCCCACGCTGCAATTGGTCGAAGCCTGGGTGGGCGGGCACCCCAGCCTGTGCGGCCCGTGCCCCCTGTAGAAGTTGGGGGCAACCCCCGGGGGGCAGCCCTGCCTCGCTCGTCGGCTTCTGCTAGAGGTCGAGGGGGCGGCCCCGCCCGGACCGCGACCATTGAGCACTAACCGCTAGTGTTTCTTGCCTCCGGTTCACAGACTCTTTCCTAAACTCCGTGGCGGTGCCAGCCTGCGGCTGGCAGGTGCCAGGCTAAGAACCTGAGATAAGGTGTTTCCGCCTCTATCCTATGGCCCTGTGGTGGATGTTCGAAGTTGGATTGCCTCGGTTTCTAATCAGTCCTGCCTCTGGACCGAGATCGCACTGCCCCCAATGGACACTTAGAGGAAAGTGGCATCTGACTTCACAATTTTGCTGGAAAGTCCATGGTAATAATAAAGCTGCACACGTGCAGGCCATGTAACCTCCCGGACCCCTACCCCTCCCCCGGTCGCCCCCTGCCTAACTGTACCTAATAAGTTTAGGAATTGATTCAGAGACTGTTTTCCATTCCGCATTGATTAATCCATCAACCCAACTTGGAAGCAAAGCTTGTGATTTCTTCAGCCAAGGGCAAAAATGCACCAGGATTCTACGTCGTCAGTATCTTCAAAGTTCAGCCCAACCCGTCAATAACTGTCATAACATGCCTCAAAGCTAACCTTTTAATACAGTCCATTACCGCCACTCTTGCCAAATGACCACCACGCACATGCGCACGATAGTAGCCAACCATCGCGGCGCTCTAACCGCGAAGCCCATCCAGATTTCGAAAAAGAAACTACTACTCTCAAGCCGGGTAACGATCTTGACGAAGGAGCCGAAGCTGAGGTTTATACCATCTTCTCGGTCCCTGAAAAACGACTGATAGTTGCACTCTGTGGTCTCTCAATGCTCTTCTCGCCTCTCACAGCAAACATTTACTTCCCCGCCATGGACCAGCTCCAAGCCGACCTCTCTGCGGGTAACCCTCAGCTGATCAACCTGACTATCACGGCCTACCTTGTTCTGCAGGGCATTGCGCCCGCCCTCTTTGGGGACATTGCCGACCTTGTTGGCCGCCGGCCCTCCTTTCTCGTCATGTTTGCTGTCTATACTGTTGCCAACATTGGGCTGGCGCTGCAGCACAGCTTTGCTGCGCTCCTGGCGCTTCGCATGCTGCAAAGTCTTGGCTGTTCAGCTACGGTGGCAGTTTCATACGGCGCCATTGCCGACGTGGCGACGGCAGCAGACAGGGGTGGCATGGTGGGCGTGGCCATGATTGCGACCAATCTCGGGCCGGTGATAGCACCTGTCATCGGAGGGGGCATTCTTACTGCCGCTGGATGGCGGTGGATATTCTGGTTCCTAGCGGTCTGTGGAGTGGTGGTTCTAGGGTTGATGGTGCTGCTGTTGCCGGAGACAGCGAGAAATGTGGTTGGAAACGGCGATGTAGTGCCGGAAGCTTGGCGAAGACCGTTACTTACGGTGTTAGGGGCGGTGAATATTCCGAAGGCTGCGAGTTATAGAGGTGGGATGCGGATAGAGAAGACCCAGAAGCGCATCCCAAATCCGCTAAGGTCGGTTAGGCTCTTGTTCCACAAAGACGCCTCGGTCGTCTTGCTTCTTAGTGGCGTGTTTTACATGGTCTACTACTGTTTGCAGGCGTCGATTTCTGTCTTGTTCAGGGAGATATACCACTTCAAGGACGACATTATTGGGGCTTGCTATCTGGCCATTGGCTGTGGTGTAGCAGTTGGCGGATACCTGAATGGTCGGTTGCTCGACTGGAAATACAAGCAGACCGCAAAGGAGATTGGGCATGAGATAAACAGGACGAAGAGTGATGACATGGACAACTTTCCTATCGAAAAGGCTCGTCTACGCTTGATAGTGTGGATGCATCTGGTTCATCTTGCAGTCTTGATAGGATATGGGTGGATGTTGGAGAGTCGAGTGGTATGACATTGTTGTCTATGCAGAGCATAGTCGAGTGACATTACTTTCGAGCTGACAATGGTTTCTAGCACGTTAGCGGCCCTCTCATCGTCAGCTTCATTCTGGGCTTGCTCGAAACTTGTCTTGTTCAGGTACGTCCTGATGGAACCACCTTGTAAGCCAAGTTTGGACTCTTCGCTTGTTAACCACAGTGATACACGACCAGACATACAATACGCTGCTTGTCGACATCTTTCAAGAAAGCCCCAGTGCCGCTGCTGCTTCTGGGAACATAGTCCGATGCGCATTGTCCGCTGGGGGTATTGCTGCTATGGAACCGCTAATGCGCTCTCTGGGCATTGGGTGGTACTTTACTCTCCTTGCTACGGTCAGCGTCCTCCTGGGCCTGGTGGGCAATGAGGTATTGACTAGGAAAGGCATGCAATGGAGACGGGCTCGTCGAGGAGTTGCCGAACCCGATCGTGGAGCTGGCGGTGATACTTAGGTAGTATGATGTAGATTGACTCTTGTAGGAGCTCTGTTGTGTTATAGCAACTACCTAGATTACCACCCATAGATTGAAGATTCATTCTTTGTCACCTTATTTGCATGACTGGAGATATTCAGGTTCGGTTGGACGCAGCGGTGTCATGGGGATCCAGAAGGAATCACTGAAATTACCTCCTACTGTCAGGTAACCGTTGCGTTTAACTGATCCTGATATATCCTTCCACAAGCGCCCTGCAACCACCCCGGTTTGGAGTTCGTCAAGCATTTGTCGGGACTGGCATCAGTCCCGATTTCCAGTTGAAGTGACCTTTGTCATCCTCGCCCACGGATGATTCACCGGACAGGACTTCTTGCGGGGCTTCGGACACCACGATGTATTCCTCGTCTGTATATCCTTCACCATACTTGGCAACCAACCGTCTCATCTCGTTCAAAGCGCTATGGGGCGTTACCAGTCAACATCTCAACAAATACTTATTATATCCCGCTGGTTGCATGGAAACTTACAGTTCTCTCATGTTTTTATTGGCAGGCCAAAGAATCGAGACAGCAAGGTCGCTGCGCATTGCATAGAGGGCGTTGCGATCCCATACTTCATCGCTAGGCTCGTTGGGCTCCATGCCGGGAAGATCGAAGTAAGCAGAAACATGTCTATCCTTGGTCCGATATCTGTCCGCTCTCCACATGGAGAAGTCATCTGATCAGTGCCAGTGAGTGGTAAGTACGTACCCGACGGTATTTTGGGTGAATGTTTACAGTGGAACTTACATTCATTATGGCCATAGAAGCAGCACGGATCGTAGACGACAGGCTCCTCTGTCTCACAGTCGACGGAGATGTTGCCATGCCATAGGTCGCCATGCACGAGAACAGGTGTGATCTTTCGACCACCCGTCTCCATGGGCCGGATTAGGCGAGGAATCACCTTAGTCAAGATCTTTTCACTCAACTCCTCCAGTTCCGCATGCGGCCCCTGAGTAGCCAACTCGGCTTGCATCGTGTCCTTCATTGACCGGGTGAAGAACTCCTCCCATGTGTCACACCAAGTTGTGTCTGTTGGATGCTTACCACTGAAGGTAGTGACGTGGTAGCCAAACTTCCCGTTAGGAGACGTCTTCTGGTGGATCTTGGCCACAAGGGAGACCAATTCCTTGTCACCCGGGAGCACGTCCTTCATGTCACGGAACTCGGCAAGGAAAAAGGCGCGAGTAGGATCATCTGCGTAGACACCGAAGCCAACTGGGGTTGGTGCACCACCTGGGATAGCGGCCACGAGTTCCTTGGTGCTTTCATACTCGCCACGGGCAATCTCGAAGGCGCGGGCTGCGTTGTATACCTATGTGTTTTTTCAATGAGCCTCAAATTGGACCTCGGCGAAATATTTACGACGCACCTTCAAAAAGTAGCGCTGCTCCCGTCCATCTGGCATAATAGCATCGACGGTTTTGCTGAGAGCCCAAAAGCTAATGCCATATGGCTGAACCCATTTGATGACGGTACCCTCGGGAAGAGCTGTGACCCGGGGCATTTTGTTAGTACGAGGTCAAGACTCGGACTGTAGGTGGGATGTGGGTTGCCCGCGCCAACGGCCCAACTTTCAAGAAGAAACCAGCGAGCGATAAGAGTTAACGCGCAGCAAGACTCACCCGCTAATACATTGGCATCTACCTCGGTCCCTCCACCACTCTCGTTCTCGGGGATCGTGGGTAGAACAAACTCAGGATCTATATAAACCATTGTTTTAAAAATGCAAACGTCGGGCTGACTAGGTGGGCAGTAACTGTGGGCAAAAATTGAGGAACTCAGGTCAAAGATGTCGAGTTCACTCCCGGTCTTATCCTCGCTGGCATCTCCCAGTAACCCGGGCATTGAGAGCTAGGAATCCACACTTACATGCACGGTCACCAACTGCATGATGCGCAGCCTTGGGATGCAACAGCAAAACTTGGGTAACGTGGGATATGGCAGGTCGCCACTAGGCTTCTTTCCGCCAATCCGTCTTTTACGCGCCCACCACGGCGCGTGTCGTTGCGCCTATTGGCCAGGATGCATGATTGCCGGGTTGCACTGCGCCCAATCTGTCGATTACTGCATGGCAGCTGTGACACGAGAGCATACTGGCCAATGCTTCATGCAGCCTCGCAGTTGGGGTTGAGGCTATAATGAGACGGTAGCTAACTGGCTATTCGAGTGCTGCAATGATCATGGGGTTTCTCCGCTCCCAACATTGAACTGTGACCAGACCTAAACCGCCTCCCAACGGCCCATCCCTCTCATCACAACCCCGCCTAGTCCAGTACCCGCGAAGCTTCCACAGGGAATGTACCCAGATGGATTTTCGCGTAAGCTCCCATTTCTTCACGTCGCCCTTCAATGTCACATACTGGACCTCCCGTCTGTCTCCTCACAGATCAAATCGCCATCAATGTCTCGACCTTCGGCTGACTCCTCTTGTGCTGTAGCACTCAAGCGATCCAGGCCCGGTTGACGGCTCGCAAACAGCCGAGGGTTCGGATTTACCACCACCGTATCCGTGGATTGCGCGATCTTTTACCAGCAGCTCTATTCCTCGAGTAAACCTTCGGAGCTTTTCCTTTCACCGCAAAGCGTCCGAGTCCAAGGCCGAGGATGTCTGGGGTCCTGTCGGCCTCAATCTACTTTACTCGCCCCCTGACCCCATCGTCGACTTAATCTTCGTCCATGGACTCCGGGGAGGATCTGTCAAAACATGGTGCAAGTCAGATGACCTGCGGCTTTATTGGCCGCAGGCATGGCTGCCTCAAGATCCCGACCTACAGAATGCCAGGATCCATTCTTTTGGGTACAACAGCGACTGGGCGGAGACGAAGGAGACCTGTCTTGACCTACATGACTTTGGACGATCGCTTTTGGGAGAGATGGTAACGTCGTCAGAGTTAAGGAAGGGAAGCCAAGTGAGTGACAAACAAGGTGCGATCATGTGGTGCGTGCAATTGGCTAATTGACAGCTAGACGCCCATCTTACTGATCGGCCATTCCATGGGGGGCTTGGTCATTAAGAAAGTAAGCTGGCGGCCATCATCATTTGCAATCGTTTTGTGATACTGACTCTCATAAAGGCCTATCTTCTCGCTCAACAGGATGATAGATCAAGGGATCTCGCCCGTCGAATCCAATGCATGTTCTTCTTAGGAACTCCTCATCGGGGGAGTGATTCGGCCAAACTGTTGAACAACGTTCTTCGAGCTAGCGCCTTCCTAAGTCCAAAAGCATACGTTGTCGACATCAATCGGAATTCCGGGGCGATATCCGTCATCAATGACGAGTTCCGGTTCTACAGTGACAGCCTCCACATCTGGTCCTTTTACGAGACCGTCAAGACCAGACTAGGGACAGTAGCAACCATGATTGTAGACAGGGACTCGGCAATCATAGGCCATCGACGAGAGGTTGTCAATCCTATGAACGCGGATCATCGCAACATGTGCAAATTTGAGAGCCCAACAGACCCAAATTACATCTTCATCCGAAATTCCCTCGTTAAGGCTACTGAGGATGTGCTAGGCGATGGTATGGCATCATTTCCTACAACCAATGTTTATGATCAGGTTAGCTAACGGCACGGCTCCTACAGTCTTTGATCGACGAGCAGACGAGACAAGACTCCAAACCATTATGCTTGAGGCATATCTGCATATCGCACACTACCCCGAAGATGACCTACACGCTATCGAGTCCAAGAAGTCAGACGGGTCCTGCGAGTGGGTCACGGACTCGTCACTGTTCCGGCAATGGCGAGACGATGAGACTGAGTCCGTCTTTTGTTACTGGCTTTCCGGGCAGGCCGGCGCTGGCAAATCTGTTCTCTCAACGCATATCGTTAGACATCTGCAAAACCAAGGTGTCGACACGTGCTTCTACCTTTTCCGGCATGGACAAAAGGCAAAGCAAACAGCCAGCAGTCTGCTGCGTGCCTTCGCATTCCAGATGGCCTCACTTCACCCCTCCATTCGCAAGATGCTTACCGCGATGAGAGAAGGGGGCGTCATGTTCGACAAGGATGATGAGAGAGGAATATGGAGGAAGATCTTTGTCAATGGCATCTTACCCACCGCCATCCAGAGAACACAATACTGGGTCGTGGATGGCCTCGATGAGTGTGTCGATCCAGAGAGACTTCTTCCTCTTATCTGCAACTTTGAGTCAAACTTCAAGGTCAGGATTCTGTTCAGCTCACGACGACTACCCGAACTCGAGAAACACCTCGCGAGGTTTGGAGATCGGCTTCTTCGACATCACATTAGCATTAACGATACGCTGTCGGATATCCAACGATTCATTGAAAACAACTCTGACGAGCTCCCCGTTGAGCCGGAGCACCGACCTCAGCTGATCGAAAAACTCGTCAACAAATCTGACGGGACTTTTCTGTGGATTGAGCTGGCCTTTGAGGAGCTGAGTAAGGTCTTCAGCGAAGATGAAGTCGACGAAGTCCTCGATCAGGTTCCAGAAGGCATGGCACCTTTGTACAACCGCATCCTCGAAGCAATGGCTAAAAATGATCGCCAAGTCAGAATGACGCGGGCGATCCTGGAGTGGACTGTCTGCGGAACTCGACCGCTGAGCACCGAGGAGCTGCAGGCCGCCTTAGCGCTGGACTTGAACACAAAGGTACGGAACGTCGAAAGGGTCATCGAAGAGCTTTGTGGTCAGTTGCTCAGAATCGACGACAATAGACACGTCCATATACTCCACGCTACAGCCCGCGAGTTCCTCCTTAGCAAAGACTCGCATCCAGTCTTCCAGATGGACAAGGATGCCGCCAATCACCACTTGGCACTAGTGTGTCTGAAGTATCTCAACAGCGAGGAGATGCGACCTCCCCGACATCCTGCTCTGGTTGGCAAGCCTGTCACTCGGTCAGCGTTTGTGGATTACGCATGCACGTCCTTCTCTGAGCATCTTGCTTCATCCCCCACGGCATCCGATGAGGTCTTCCTACTCCTGGACAAGTTCTTCCGCACTAATGTGTTGGCCTGGGTGGAATACATCCTCGCAAGGAAAAGAAATCTCTACTATATTACTCGAGCATCCAAGAATCTCCGCCGATACCTTGACAGGCGATCCAAGTACGCACCGCCCTTGGGTGTCCAGTACAGCAACATACAAATGTGGCAGACAGACCTGCTACGCATTGCCCTAAGATTTGGAGAAAACCTGCTCAAGAATCCTTCCTGCATCCACTTCCTAGTGCCACCTCTTTGTCCCACCGAGACTGCAGTCAACAAGCTTTTTGGGCGTACCATACCAAAGAGCCTGCAACTGAGTGGATTGACCAACAGCAATTGGGATGACTGCATCTGCTACATCGATTACCGAGAGTCAAGGGCACTGTCCTTGGCAGCATCTGATGGTTTCTTCGCAATCGGTATGAAGTCGGGCGATATCAAGGTCTACCAGCAGAGCACATGCCAACAGATCGCCACATTTGTCCACGGGGAGCCCGTTGGAAAGGTCAGATTTGATAATGCCTCTCAGTATCTTGTGTCGGCAAGTTTTAAGAAGCTCAAGATGTGGACCATCGAAGGGGAGCTGCTCTGGACCGTCGCCAACGCAACTCTTCTCTCAGCCATTTCCTTCACCGAAGACGGTAAATACGTCGTCACACTCGACAGATACGGCAACATTAACACATTGAATATCTGCGATGGCACCAAAGTTCAACCCGACCTTCCAGGCGACTCTGCAAAGAAGACCAACCTCAGCCAAGGTGCGTGGCGGGTCATCTCAGACGCTGATATTTGTCCCAAGACCGAGCTCGTCGCCATCAGCTACCGGGGCTGGCCTCCACAGATATGGAGCATAGAGCAGGACGTAATGATTGGAACCTGCAACCTAAGTCGGGACAAGCCTGGTGTTCACATCATGCCGGTCTCACAGCTGCTCTTCAACCCCAACCCAGCTATCGAGCTCATCGCAGTGGCCTACCAGGACGGTGAACTCGCCATCTTCGACAAATGGCCCGGCGGTCCCGAAATCAAGGCGATTTCTGCGAATGCACTGACTCTTGCCGCAACCGTGGATGGACGCACGCTCGCGACGGGAGATGCAAAGGGAACCATCAAGCTCTGGGATTTCGAAACACTCACCTTGCTATACTGGATCAAGTCTACCGAGCATGATGTCAGGTCGATGGCCTTCAGTGGCGATGGATTTCGGCTGTACGACATCAGAGATACCAAGACCAAGGTCTGGGAGCCTGCTGCCCTGGTGAGGAAAGGCGTTTCCGAAGACTCGAGTGTCAGCGAGTCAGTTCATTCCCCGGTTCCCATTATTGAGCGAGACCGTGAGCTTGTTGGCATTATGCAAATCTTATCGCCGCCGGAGGCCGGGTGCATTTTTGTTGGGAAAGCTGACGGGTCTGTGGTTGTCTATGATTCGGCTACGGGCGATATTGTATCGTCCTTGTATTCGCATGGACGTGGATGGTATGCCTTTGTGAGGAGCCTGTCTTGGAATCGCCACATGATTGCAAGTGCGGATGCCTCGAACAACATAACAGTCCACACCTTGGAAAAGGTTGGGCCGAACAATTGGAAGGTTACGGCCAGGGTCTTCGAAAAGAGGCCAGATGGCGATGGCGACATTCAGCAACTGCTGCTACACCCGGCATCCCCTTTACTGTTGGTCTTGAAGGGATCTTCGGAAATGCTCTTCAAAATTGATACGCAAAGCAGGATCCCGTTGTCAGACCGGAGCTGCAATGGTTACCGATCATGCCTTTGGTTGCCGTCGGCTTCAGGATCCGTTCTCTTGCTGGGTGTGAGAGCAACGGAACCGGTGATTGACATTTTCGCCCCCGATGCAGAGGGTTTGGAATACCAGTTGAGAGACATATGGGACCTAGGAACCTCTGAAATTCCCGTGTCATGTACCATTAGATCAATTTCGACCGATGCGACAGGGAGCTATCTCGCCGTCCTCCTGGAGAACAACCCAAAGCTGCCCCCTGGCCCTGGGCTGTTGATCTACAGGATACCCGTTCTTTCTCTTGATGGGCTAGCTGGATCTCATGCAGAGATTACTGAGCTCCCAGCCCTTACCATCCCTGACACCGACATGAAGACCTTCTTCGGTTTTTATAAGGAGCGCCTTGTCTTCCTGGATCACGAGCTCTGGGTCAAATCGATCGATCTCTCCAAAGTCCACGCTGGCACTACTCTTGATTCACTTACAGATCGGCACTTCTTCATCCCGCGTGAGCTTATCGGCAGTAACAATGGGGTGGACGGGGTTGTAACCGACACAGGCACTGTGGTGTTCCCAAAAGAGGGGGAGTTGGCGGTAGTGAGACATGCATTGGAGTGGACATTCGTGGCGAATGATACAAATGAGAAGGAGATAACGCCGCCAAGACGCGCAGGGACGTTTGAAATTGCATTACGGGGAGGGAGGAGAAGGGGATTGATACATACGCCCTCTCCAACATAGGTACCCTTAGACGGTAACCTGGAGGGGTGATTTCTGTTGTTATCCGGAGTCTCACGGACCAGCTTGTTGATGAACCGGGGCATGACGGACATGGCTGAAGGCCCAATATCAAGAGTTCATACGGTTTTGATCAATAGTAGATAATTCAGGGGTTCAGCATATTAGTACTGTGATACCAACAGACAACCTACACCCAGGACAACTGTACGATTCATAGCTCAATGGAAGACCACTGAATGAGCGACTCACTTCGTGTTCTCTTTTGCCTATGAAGCCAGTAGTTAAAGTTTCAAGTGAGTTGGCTTGAGTAGGTACGGTGCGGATGCGCTACCTGTACATACATTTATATACCTCTAATTCAGTCCTCCCCACTCCATCCATATGGAGGGTCCTGATATTCAGCCCTGCGGCTGTCTTCCCATGCCTTGATAACATCGAAGTTGCGGCACTGCTTCGTGCCATTGAACAGTGGGTGGTATTTGCTGTGAGTCTCATTCGATACCACCGTCATTGTTAGGACCGAAACGTCTGCGAAGCAGAGGAATGACTGGTATAGATAACTGAAGCAGTGATCTACATGCTTCTGGGGATCTGCTCGGCTGTCTTCTGATTCGTCATAGAATGCTTTCCGAATCCAATTCTACCAAGTGTGTCAGACGACCGGAAGACATGACAATGCACATGTATACAGGGGCACTGGGGTAGGGATAACTCGCCAGGCAGTGTAGTTGATGGCGCATCTCGAGGGAGGCTGCATAGCCCCCTTCTGTTCCATACGCTCTTGTAGTACCACGCCCACCAGGAAGGCTGTTCTTTTCTTCCTCGCTGATGACGATGATAACCCTCTCAATGAGGTCTTCCCAGACCTGATCTACATTAGGGTTCACATTTGAATATGGGTCGGTACCATTGATGTATCCGTTTGTGAAAAATGTGCCTGGGTGTATCGTGGATCAGCCTTTGCGCCCTTCTTCCAGCGACATTGACACCAGGGAACTCACGGCCTTCCCAAACAATGGGTGCATCGAGGAGGGATTCTAAGAAGGAATCAGATTGAGCTCAAATCTCGCCAGCTATGACATGTATAGTATGGTGCTTACCACTGAAGCAAGGAGAGCATGTCTTTGTGTTGAGTTGTGTGACGAAAAAGACGACGCTATAGATAGCGAGTGCCAGAAGGTGAAGCAGCCATGGCAGCCAGGTTGTCTTGGAGACATGCGTTTGTTTCGCAACCCAAGCGGGATCCGGTGTCTCGTCGACGTGTTCGACACCTCCAACTTTGCTGTACCGCTTCGAATCTGAAAACGACCCAAGCATTTCTTCGTCCGCTGAATTTTTTCGAAATGCTAGTAACGCAGAGACAGAGGCTCAAGCTGTTGAGAGGAAGAGGAAAGGGCTGGGACGTTGCGTGGAAAATATACATGTAGTGGGGCAAAAGGGTTGTTTGCTAACCCTTTGTAGTAGACAGCAAGCCACATGGCTGGACAAAGAACAATGGCCTCTTGCTAGTGGTCGAAGGTCCTCTATTCAGTACTCTATTCGTCTAAGATCGGATTTGGGCGATTCCTGGAATTTATCGACCACGGGAAATGGAATGGACTTGTAAACATCATCTCTCTTTATCAACCCCTGGGGTGATTCACATGGGCTTGTTTACCCCCGGCTACAATTGCCCTAATTGGCAATGCCACACACTTCCAAGACAATATGCGGTGGTCAATACAAAAATCATATTGCCACTTGTTGAACCTACGTTACGTATGAGCCGCAGGTTGCATAGTGTTTTAGCTATACAGCTGACTTCGAGCAAGCGAATTGATACCAGTTTGTGCGGTAAGGGGCTCCGAGCGCTATAAGCTCCGGTGGTCCGTTCCGGCCCGGAAAAGTGGGTCAAGCACGGAACGGAGCCCCACCCGCCCCCGCACCCGACAGCATGGATCACTGTGCAGCCATGTGCTTTGCTACAGTAGGACATATCTGTGTTGGGGCATTCCCCTATGGAATACGGAGGTCGGGGCCAAAAGTCTTTCCACCAGTTTGTTTAAGGCACGCGCCATACAGTATAGACCATATAAATTATAAATGCTAGCTATTTTGCACAGTATTTCAGGCCCCTTCTGTTTCGCTAAGTTCCGCTAGACGCTAAGCCCATTCGAGTACCTGAGCAGTGCTGCAGCATTCCCATCACTGTCTAGAGGCACTGTAAGCGTGCTGAAGCAGATGGGAACGGAGCACTGTATGACCCGTGTGCTGGCTTAACGACTTGGTGGAAACACTTTTGGCCCCGACCTCCGTAAAAGAGGTGAGATTCTTGCTTACTGTATCTACTAAGGTCCATTGTATCGAGGAGATTAAGTCTGAAGGATATTTCAGGCTTAGGTTTCTGTTTTTAAGGGTGGATAAGGTAGCTTCTTATCTGAGTACATACGGAATAAGGTGGCTTAATACTCTGTACAGATAACATTAGTCTCGGGCCTTAGTAAAGTGCCCATTCCAGCCAGACCTTATCTGCAGGAGACGGTGGACATTACTAACTCTATATCACTTCGGTGAAACGAACAGGATACGATTGTAAGGCCATCAACGAGCTGACTGCCTGCAATGTCAACTCAACCCCGAAATCGCTCGGCGGTACCTTCGGCGTTTCCAATGGGGTTCAAAGGGAAATGGTGGGATGACGCCACCCATTGGCTCTTGCAACCTCCGTACCAGCGCCGACTTGCGGAGAATCCCGTCTGTGCACGCTTGTCGATATCCATTATCCAGGGATCAACTCCTTCCAATTCCGGGAATTGCACGGCTAGACATGTTACATCAGAAGAGACCCCATGACGCATCTCGGCCTGAACCCGCCGCCATGATAACTCTTCCGTGTCAATACCATCGCGTCTCCCTTAAGCCGCCCTCTGGCCTTCCGGCTTGGTCCTTGGCATTTGACCTACACCGGACCTCATCCCACCTAACATCATCATCAACACTATGGAGCGACACAAGAAATCAACAGCGGCGGCGGCAGACCTACCCAAGGCGGAACCCGCGCGGGCGCAGCGGCTCGGGTCGCACAGTCAGACAGTCGAGGAGGATGCGGCAGCACTGGAGCGGCTCGGGCACAAGCAGGAGCTGAAGCGCAATTTCTCCATGGTCTCGATGCTCGGGCTCGCCTTTGCCATCCTCAACACGTGGACCGCGCTCGCCGCGTCCATCTCGCTCGCATTGGCCTCGGGCGGCGCCAGCTCCGTCATCTGGGGCTTGGTCGTCGCGGGGATATGCAACCTGTGTCTGACCGCCTCGCTCGCCGAGTTCCTCTCGGCCTACCCTACCGCCGGGGGACAGTACCACTGGGCGGCGATTGTGTCGTGGAAGAGGTGGAGTCGCGGGATCAGTTACTGCACGGGTTGGATCAATATGGCTGGGTGGGTTGCGCTCAGCGCAACGGGGCCGTTGTTGGGGAGTACCTTTGTGGTTAATGTCATTGCGCTGTTCAACCCGGACTACGAGGCCAAGGCGTGGCACCAGTTCCTTATCTACATTGGGTTTACGCTCTTTGCCTTGGTGGTAAACGCCTTCCTTACACGCCTGCTGCCGCTCTTCACCAAGGCTGCGTTTATCTGGTCGCTGCTGGGTTTCGTTGTCATTAGCATCACGGTTCTGTCGTGCGCGTCGCCAAATTATCAGAGCGGCGCGTTTGTCTATGGCAATTTTCTCAATGAGACGGGTTGGCCGGATGGTGTGGCGTGGCTTCTGGGCTTGCTGCAAGGGGCGTTTGGTTTGGCAGGTACGTTGTGGGCGTCATCATTAGTCAGAAGAGAGAAGTTCAGGAGTCCAGGACTGACATCTATTTACCACAGGTTTCGATGCAACGGTGCACATGATCGAAGAAATCCCTCGGCCGCAGCTGCAAGGGCCGCGCATCATGCTCTACTGCATCGGCATCGGCATGTTCACGGGCTTCATCTTCCTCAGCTGCCTGCTCTTCGTCGTCGCCAACATCGAGGACGCCATCGAAGCATCGGCTGGACCGCTTCTCCAGATCTTCATGGACGCCACCAAGAGCCGTGCAGGCAGCACATGCCTGCTCATGTTCCCCCTGATCTGCATGCTTTTCACGACCACGACACTCATGACCACAAGCAGCCGCATGAGCTATGCTTTCGCGAGAGACCGGGGAATGCCGTTCAGCTCTGTCTTTGCCAAAGTCCACCCCTTCCTCGACGTGCCGCTCAATGCGCTGCTGTGGACGACGGTCTGGGTCGTTGTTTTCGGGTGTATCCTGCTGGGCTCGACCAGCACGTTCAATGCTATCACGTCGGCCTCGGTGGTTGCTCTTGGCGTCACCTACGCCATCCCGCCGAGCATCAACGTCCTGAGAGGGCGCAACTTGCTGCCGCCTACGAGGGTGTTCAAGCTCCCTAGTTGGCTAGGGTGGATCTGCAACCTAGTATGTACGGCTGAAGCATGTGTAGAGTTCCCGCAACTAGATCGCTGACACTTTGTTTTCCAGGTTGGCATCGCCTGGACGATCCTCACGACCGTGTTATTCGTGTTCCCGCCGACTCTTCCCGTTACCCCCGACAACATGAACTATTGTATTGTTGCATTCGGCGTGATTTTGCTCATCTCGTGCACGACCTGGATAGTCGACGGCCGCAAGCACTACAAAGGACCGAAGGTGGATATCTATGCCATGCTTGAGGGCAAGGCCACTGGTGACGGCGGGGATCTGTTGCAACCTGAGTGCGGAACCGCTGAGAAAGTTCAAGTTGAAGGGCCGGCCGCTGGTTCGGAGGTCATGTCCAGGTAGGATAATACGACGGAGGCCAGGAGTTTTTGGAAATCCGTTAGTCAAGCCCAATAGGAGCATTGAGTAAGGTCACTATAAGGACCCGTGGAACCGGCGTTTTGGCAGTTGCTCGCCGTAATGCTGACCTGGAAGCTTGATAGGCCAGAACTCCAACGCCACTAAATCCAGAACTGCTTGATGCAGCAAAACTGTACAAACGGGCCGGAGCTCGTTCTCTCTCATCAGCACAGTCTCCTTCTCCAATCGTTGACTTCGGTTTTGATAGCAAGCTCGGGTTAAAATTCACTGTGAACCCCGTGCTGCATGGCCCGCGACATCAAAATCCACTGCGATTGTCAGCTGGGAGACGGAAATGGACCGGGGCATCGAGAACGAGTTTGCCAGGCTCGAATCAGTCTTTGCCGGCAAAAGGGAAAAGATTCACAGCCAACAAGCGAATATCAGCTTGAAGCGGTTTCTGAAGAAGTATCTCGGCATCGAAGAAGAGTGGTCGGCTCCTGCACCAGACAGTCGGCCGTCAGCTACAGTGACCCTCTCGTGGTACTACCTAGACGACAGAGAACTGCCGAATCAAATCATGGCAAAGGTACCCGGGCTTCACTTGGAAAAGTTTGGGTACAATCACGTCATCGGTTGGGACGCGGCACATGTCACTGAGGAGATTACACGCTTGGAAGAGGAGCGCCGACGGCTGGAGGAGCAAGAGGAAGCCGAGAAACGAGCGGCAGAAGAGGAGAAGAAGGCTCAGAAAAAGGCCAGATGGGAGCGGCGGTGCAAGAGGCATTACGAACTTGTTCGGGTTGCAAAGACACAGGAATCCCACAGGCCATTAGGCCTTCAAACCCTCCCTGGGGCGTACCTGGTGCGGTGGGACGACAACTCGGAGGACGCGGAGAGGTGCAATGACCCGCATCATGACATCGATGTTATGAAGCTCAACATATTCCCGGCTGAAAGCTCGCACGGGTGCAAAGCGTATTTCAACTTTGGGCTGATCGAAGGGACGATGCTGCTGGCGATGACCAAGCGGGGAGTTGAAATGCTAAGGGACAAGCAGCCCAAGCACAGCGAATGGAGCGATCCCGAAGTGTCTGATGACGACGTGCACGATGGAGACTGCAAAACGGGCGAGGCTAAGACACAAACCAAGCTGACTGGGGAGAAGCGGTCACTTGGGGACATCGCCGATCCGTGGGGGGTCCAGGCTGCCCGAGCGAACCGGCAGCAGTTGACGGGCTTAAAGAAGGCGGAGGAGGAAAGCCATCCGAATCGGGTTTATTTTCAGTTTGTTTGCAACGAGATTAATGGGTACCCCCTCGTTGACGACGACAACGAACATGTCGGGTACTTGGACTTTGACGAGACAGGGTTAGCTGCGAAGGGCAACTTTGATGTACCGCGCCTTGGTATGAAAGAGCAGGCGATAGCCATCTTCAAGATTGCGGAGAAGCCGGCGTCGGATAAGAAGCCACTGCCGTGGTATGAGTTTGACGGGAGAACGTGGGGGAGCACGTGGTAAGGATAAACGGCTGTGAAATCAACGATACATGTTGTGGCAGCATTTGATGGCCCGGGGAATGTCGTCTTCAACCCCTTCAAGTTTCGTAGCAGGATCAAGTTTAGGTTGTTGTATCGGTTTTAGTCGTTTGCAGTCAGGGGTCACCCTTTAAACTGTTTTAACCGTGGGATTGGATCATTCCTTGGCGGCCCATATAATAGGTAAATACGGATACGAAATACTCTGTACCGTAAGACTTACCCAGTCACGTGTGTCAGCGCATCTGTGCTGCGCATTTCAATTAAAGTTCCTGCTAAAAAAGGAGTCCCAGGGGGGGGGCGAATTGTACCGTACATCGTACTGTACAGTACCGTACGGTCGTAGTGTACAATACAGAATATCTTCTTGGCGGGTGGAGGACAAAGTGCGATTGGCCAGCTACTCAGTAGTGGGGCAGACGATTCTGGAGCGACTGTGACGAAACAAAATGCAGCTCCCCACAGACGGTCAATCGGCGCTGTTGAACTTCGACCCGACAACGAGACCCTAAAGAAATCCGACAGTCACAACGCCGGATTTCTGCCATCATGTCACGACGACCGCCGAGAGGAGAGTACATTGAAACTGTACGTTTTAAACTAGGTCAATTCCAATCACTTCAACTCGGCTGAGACTCGATGCGCGCAGGACACGGGGAACAAGGTGGCGCGCAAGGCCACGCTCGTCGGCACCCAAAACATAATGCTTGGCGGCAAGACCGTCATTCAGCCCGAAGTCATGATCCGCGGCGACCTTATCCGGTCCATTCAGTCCTCGTCCTCATCCGCAAGCGGCGCGGCGCCTAACAACACGGCCGTGTCCATCGGCCGCTACTGCTTTCTCAGCCGGGGCTGTTGTCTCCGTCCGCCAGGGAGGCTGTACAAAGGGTACGTTCTACTCTCTCCCCGCACCGGACAACAGAACAAGTGCACTAATCTTGCCGTGTCATGCCCAGCGCATTCACATACATGCCTCTGCGAATGGGCGATCACGTCTTTGTTGGCCCGGGCTCCGTCGTGCAGGCCGCCTCAATCGGGAGCCACGTACATATTGGCGCGAGGGTTGCAGTGGGCGAATTCGCAATTATCAAGGACTACGTGCGTGTCCTGGACGGCACCGTCATTCCCCCTAACATGGTGATACCGAGCTTTAGCATCGTTGCGGGCCAGCCAGCGCGACTCATTGGGGAAGTGCCCGAAGGAGGTCACGAGGCGTTCGAACTGCGCGATCTCTACAAGACGGTGGGGAATAACCCGCAGCCAGCACCTTCTTGAAACCCAGCTGGGTTGGAGAGGGAATGTATGAAGACGAGCATACGTTGCCTGGCGTGTCCTAGGACTTGCCTTCAAGACCTGTGTCGCCAGCGAAGCCGATAGTCAGGATGGGTTGTTGAGCATCTCTGGGTCAGGTTGCCGTCCCTTCACATCGGTACTCAAGACGCATGGGTGGTAGTATTCGAGGCATACTGATACCTACATTACACATTACCCGACCGCTCGGAGATTCAGTCTACAAGCTCGGGAAAGCTTCGCCCATTCTCGGCGATGCTCTCCTCCAATGTCCGCCAACCCGAGTGCTGGCCCATCCGCGCGAGCAGCTCAGCGCCCCTCTGGTTGGGTACCTCGGTCTGATCCCATCCCAGGTCTTTCACCTTGGCCATCTTGTTGGCATGCTCTGGATAGAGCTCCTTGAGGATCTCGGCGACCCTGAACCAGCTGTATCGATGCCCGAACCCGAAAATTCGCTCTCTGTCAACCACCGGTGAGGTCCCCAGCAGCGCCACATGCAGCCTCCCGGCATCGCGGCAATCCACAAACCATTGCGGTGGCACCATGTTGAGCACGTCAACATTCCGGTTTTTCCACACATTATGAACCATCCCTGCCGAAGACGGGAACCCCTGATTCACCGGGTCCAGACACTCTCCCAAGACGGCATTCAACAGCACCGCATTGAACGCAAACCGCGGCTTCGTCTCATTCACCCACTCCCAGATTCTCTTCTCAAGAATCGTCTTCGCCGCCATGAACCCCGCCAACCCCTTGCTAGCGCTATCAACCGTCTTATCCCTCGCGAGCTGCACAGCCTCCTCATTCCAACTCTCCACGGTGAGCGTAACCTTGCGCACCGCATTCGGCGTCCATGCAGCCCAGGCAGTCGAGTTCCACGCCACGGCCCGGACCGTCTCCTGCCTCGCAGCAGCCTCAAGAAACCGAACCTGCCACCGCAGCTCCTCCTCCGCGGCCGCATCAGCATCCGGCACGTCAAAATCAACCATGCCAATGGTGTGTGCGATGCCGGATACCCCGCGCATCGCCTCGTCCCATGCTCCTGGCGCAGTCTTGTCGGGCACCTCGAACAGCTCGAACCGGCCCGGCCCGTGCCGCGCCGCGAACAAGCTGCTGAGGTAGCTGCATCGTGAGGCCGACCGGACGGTGCCCCGCACCAGGTACCCGGCGGACAGGAACTGGTCGACTACGTGGGAGGCGATCAGGCCGTTGGCGCCCGTTGCGAGGATTAGTGAGCCGGGCGGGATGAAGGGATTCGTTATGGTGATGGGTGGGTTGGTGGGGGGCATGATGTGAGGGTCTGGGGGTTGCTCGCGTAGGTTGGATGTTGTGAATGGATTCGAGTTGAGTTGCGTGAATTCAGGCGAACGGGTGAGTTGAGGAGAGGACATGAGGAGAGGACATGATGGGATGGTTATGATGTCTATTCTCTGACTACAGGTAGTATTAGAAATCTATGTTCGGATGTAGATCGTCCAATCGCCGAAGTCTGTGCTGCTGGCCTGGACTGTCGCTGCTTCCGGGGATACCGTTGTTAGCTCCGAGCCCTCCGTGTTACTCGGTCACTTTAGCCGTTAGTTTGTGCACTGGTTTCGCGAGGCCAACATTGGAAGTTTGGGACAAGTCCATGAAGTGGTGAGCCAACGTGTAGTCTCAACCCTGTTGGCGCTCAGTGTCTCGCAAGCTGCAGCACAACAACGGCATTCCCAACCTCCTGCCTCTCCTCCAAGAGAACTTGAGCATCCTTTTCGTCAACCAGCGCCCCTGCCCCAATCTCTTCGACCCTTCCGCGCAGCGCAGCTTCAAACATACCTACCCAATCAGCCGCAACTAAAATTATCCCTTAACAGTGGGTCTTCCACAACCTCACAACCGCAGCATCAGTCTCCCATCTCCACCTCGGTCTCTACTCTCTCCTGCTCTAACCAGACTAACCTTGACCTTCCCTGCACACACTTCCCGCCTCTTTTTGCTTTTTCCCGCCCAAACTTCCAATGGGCACTTTGATGTTTCCTGATATGGGCTGGGGGTTTGGCGCCATTCTTGGCATGGGCGGTTCTTGCTTTGTGTCGTACGTTAACGAGACGACGGTACACAAATCATGGCAGATTTGGGTGGATGGGAAGAGGCGCTCTTACTATCCAGAAACTGCGAGGAGGATCTGGCGCGAGAGTATACCATCTACAAGCACCTCGGTGAACACGATTGTATCTTGCGCTGCTTCGGCCTTGATGAGATTCACCATCCAGGTGTCCACGCTCTGCGCCTCGAGCTAGCGCCGCTAGGAACCGTACGTGGCCTTATACAGAAACTCCCGGGTGAACCGCTACCCGAGTTGACAAGGGTACAAATGTGTCGCGACGCTGTCGACGGGCTTGTCCACATTCATTCACGGCACGTCTGGCACTCGGACATCAGCTGCCGAAATCTTATGCTATTCGACGGTTATCGTGTCAAAATCGGTGGCTTTGGCGGGTCTATTATCCAGGGGCGCGAGTCGTCATTTCCGGTTACTGTGGCCGAAGAAGCTCAGTACGAGCTACCGTGCCGTGGACGGGATAGGGACCAGAGGCCGACCATGAAGAGAGAGCTCTTTGCACTCGGATCGTGCATGTACGAGATCATGGCGTGGATGCGGCCTTTCCAAGGTCTGCCCGATAGTGAGGTGACCAGGCGGTATGAGCGCAACGAGTTCTCGTCCCTGGATGGCATCCCCGTCACGATTGCAGAAGCTATATGGAATTGCTGGCACGAGGCCTATGACTGTGCTGATCAGGTGGCTGAATCGCTGCAAGAGATACAATTACCAATCGACAGAGACGAAGCTGCATTTGATTCAATAGCGGAGAAGGAGGAGGGGCGATGATTGACTTGAAACCTCTGGGATGAACCATTGGAGACGGGCCAAGCAGTACCTATATACCATATAATCTACTAGCACCCATATGGTGTACTGTACGTATCCGTACTTTGCACGAGCTTCCCCCCATGTCTTACCTCCTTAAGTCTCTCAACAACTGCTTCCGCCCCGGAATACTTGCCTTGCCAGCACTGGTCGATAACTGTCCCAATTTCACCAAGAGATGCCGTCTCAGGGAACTTCCGATCCACATACAGGGCGCGGATCTCTGTGCCGTCCAAGTCTTTATAAGGAGAGTGCCCGGTCATGATTCGTACAGCACACTGCCGAGTGCAAATAGATCGGCTTAGAGTGAGAGGGGAGACCCTGGGAACTCGTGGCTTTCGGTGACTACAACCAGCAGTGGTGAGCCATCATTTGACGACCCGGCAAAGTCGGCCACCCTGGCGTTGAGGCAGTTACATATCCAAGAAGATGTTGGCACAAGTCAAGTCGCCATGGATGACGCCTGCGTCGTGGACAAACTGGATAGCCTCTGCAACCTGAATGGCCCATTGTAGTCGCTGCGCAGCACCAGCGCCGCTGTCTTCAAGGTGTAAGCGCAGGTTGTGATGGGGGGCGTACTCCAGCCGGATGCCTGACTCAAAGACGCCGTGGTAAGACGAGAGCCCCTTATGGCCGCCGCGTTGCGCAAATCTTTCGTAAACCTCAACGCTCTCGCTGCATGCGGAGAAGGCACTCCTTGTTGTGATGGTCAAAGGGCACCTTGACAACAGTGTTGGACGACGGGACTTGTCCAGAACAACCATGCCCGTGGTTCCGCAGCCGACGACGTCGCGTAACCCGAACCTTGAGGGATACTGGATCTCGTCATCAGCAGTTGATTCCGACATTTGCGGGCGATTTCAGGATGGCGCAGTACTGCAAACGATTGTGATATCCAAGCCCAGGCGCCAGCAAATTCCAGCTGCGTTCGGACTCGAAAGTCAACTGTATGTGATCAAAGATCACTAAGAGGCGGTTTGCCGGAAGCCAGTACGCCTCGGCGGTGGTGAGGATTTGAGAAGTCGGCAACTTTATTACTGCGTGTTGTGGCTGGGTTTCGAGGTTGCAGCCGCAGATTGAGGAGCTGCGCAGGTCGCAGGATGTGACACGACCTGCTTAGCTTATGGGTACCTACCTCATTGTATGGGGAGTCGTGTGACGTGAGACGTTGGATATGAGTTAGTGCCGCCAGGCAGCGCCGGTTGCCAGGTCAACGATCAACGCTGCCGGTGGTTTGCCTTAGACCCCTCATGACCACGGTTCTAGCACAGATATTGGCAGCCCTAATTCTTAGACTATAATATATATGCTCTTTACCAGAATCAGCAGAGAAAATGGCCAAGTATACCTCCGTACTATCATATGTTATTTAAGACGGAAACTTCTGCGCAAGCCGCCATGCAGATATACGATGATACTGCTAATATCCATCCTTATATCACGTTCAAGTTTTGTCCTGGCCCAAGATACCAACTTGAAGTAGCAAATGTGTGAATTGATACATCACACTTTGCGTCTAAGTCCCGTGATGGACCACTTTGAGTACTACCTATCAATACCAGCACTTGGTTCAATTTCCGCCACTAATATTGACACATACGACCGAGCTCAGTCCGCGTTGCATTCCAGCAACTTCAATCTTTAGATCGGTTCGACCCGGCCAGCATTTGAATCACTCCGTCCAGCAGCATTGGTCACTGTGAAAAACCTGTACCCCATTTGGGGTTGAGGGAGGAAGCCGAGGAAATGCCCCTGTGAGGACTGGACTCTGAACAAAGTTAAATAGGGTCAGGGGCTGGTAATGTGTCCCAATGCACCTTTGTGAGGGTAATGATGTCAAATTCCACCAACAGGCACCTCCTTCTTCTCGCCCGGCTGCTGTATCTTCTTCCACTGAAGCCCAAAGGTGACCAGGAACGCGCACGCTGCCGTGGCAACACTGATATAGTAGGAATTCCGCAGGCCCAAGACATAGGCACCCAGAACGGCATCCACAGCGTCGGCACGGCCAATCTTCTCGACGAGCTGGCGGATCTGTGACGCACCGCTGTTGATGATGAGGCTGGGATCAATGCCCGGTGCGTCGCGGAGGATGTTGCTGACGAGCCCGTTCTGGAAAACGGTCTGGCCGACGGCCAGGAACACGGAACCCCCCAGGGCCTGAAAAAACTGGGTGCACGACGTTGCCTGCGGAATCAAATGCGGCGGCAGCACGTTCTGCACCGCCACGATGGGCGCCTGGAAGCAGATGCCAGTCCCCAAGCCATAGACAACCTGCGATGGGAACCACTTGCTTAGGGGGGTGTCCAACCAGAAGGTCGCGATCAGGGCGGCGCCCGCCGTGAGAAGCGCCGTCTCAACGAGGATGATGTGGTTGTAGTACCCGATAGCCGTAACCAGGGCGCCGCTGCCGACTGAGCTGATGACCATGGCTATCAGGAAGGGCAGGATCTTGATGCCGGCCTGAATGGGGCTGTCGCCCTGCACGGCCTGGTAGTACAGCGCTGCACGAGTCGTCAGTAGAAGGCTCAGGGGCGTATGGAACTCAGTTTAGGATATACGCACACAAATAGTAGACCATGGGGAAGAAGGAGGCGCCAAAGAACATGGCAAACATCATGGAGCAGAAAACGTCGCGATTCTTGAAGAAGCGCGGTGGCAGAAGCCCCTTATCCTGCTGCCAGATCTCGACCCCCGTGAAGGCAATGGCGCAGACACCAGCCACCACGATCAAGGCTATCACCCGGCCATCACTCCACGGATACTCGACTCCTCCCCATTGGAGGGCAATCAGCAAGAGAATGATACCCGGGACGATGATAACAGCGCCGATCAAATCCAGCTTCAAGATGCGCCTGATGAATGACTCGCGCTTCGCATTGTCCGCCGACGACGACATGTGCAGGAAAAAGATGACCGCCGCCGCCGCAGCACCACCAAGCGGCAGGTTAATGTAGAAACACCATCGCCAGGTAACCTGGTCCGCAAACACACCTCCCAGCAACGGCCCAACAACCGACGAGATCCCCCACAACGCTCCAAACAGTCCAAACGTCGCCGGCCGCCTCCTGAGGGGCAATATATACCCCACAATGACAAACGACCCCGAAAAGATGCCCGCGGTCCCCAACCCAGCAACCGCCCTGCCCACAATAAACGCCGTACTCGTAGGCGCGAGGGCCGTGACAAGACTGCCCAGCTCAAACAATGCCACAGCCCCCAAGTAGGTGAGCTTGATGTCAAACAGGCGGTAGATGGCGCCGTAGATGGGGTACATGGCGGTTGAGGTCAATAGATAGGAGGCGCCGTACCAGCCAATGTCGCGGATCGAGTCGAACTCGACCGTGATGGCGCCCAAAGCGGGCGCGATGATGGTCTGGTCCAGCGCGATCAGGAAGATGCATAGGCAGAGGGAGAGGAGGACCAGCCAGAGTTTGAGGCCGTGCGGGTACTGTGATTCGTCGTCTGCCGGAGCAGCGTCATCGGCGGCGGGTGGTGTGATGGTTTGGGCGGGGGTTTTTTCCAGGCCATTGTGTTGCGTGCCGGAGGTTTTGTCTACGGACATTGTGTCCGGCGACTCGGAAGGGTTGTGTTGGGAATCTGGAAACTTTTCGGGGTCGGACTTTAGGTTCGTTGTCGAGTGACCCGACTCGGACATGTCGAGGATGGTTCTAATCTTCACGACTGCTAGTGATGTGCTGGTATGAGAAGGGAGAGCGGCGCGGCTTCCGTTGCAGAGAGGGGCAGACTAGCGCGAGAAAACAACAAGACAAACGAAAAAGGGGCTGTGGGCCTTCAACTGATCATGGAAGGCCTACACAGAAAGTAGTGAAGCTATGGATTGTTTCGGACTAGACTTGCTCTTTTTGAACTGGTCGAGAATTCGTTTGATAGTGGAAGACGAGGTTCGACAGGCAGAACTAGAAGGCGGCACTTCACAGATTCATACACGTGTAGACTACGACGAATCAACATTGTTGGGTGCCAACAACCAAGCAATAGCCTATAGGATTTTAGGTGCCAACGGTGGGTAATTATTAATCACGGATCCCGCGTCACAGTGTCTCTGATCGACGACTCCAGCCGCCCAACGTCTGTCTGGCTTGGCAAAGACAAACGACCGCGATGGTCCTGAGCCCCTGAGTCGGACTCGATGCTGAAGCCGTACCTGAGTACTAACCTTTAGGCGTCTTGCCTTATACCTGGTATTTGTAATCAGATGCTCGCAAAACACCGTCCTCAAAGATCCGTTCCAGTCAAAAATAATTCTACCCAGGCGCTTTGTGTTCTTCTTGGGAATGGCTTCAAGTGAGGGTACGGTACCTTTGGTAACCCCCACGCCCAGGGTATGTGCATGTCGGGAAGGATTCGGGCCCATGTCAGCTTGCAGCCGCTGTAGCGTTATGCCCGAAGCCCCACCGAAAGGGGGCAGCAACACCTTCGGCCGAAGCCATTCTTTAACCTGATTGGATGATGACATCCCATCTTCTACCGGCCGAGGCTCACCATCTCAAACTCACCACCAGACCGATCGTGGCTTGGCCGTCGACGGTGAGTCTGGTATTATCATTCGGAAGACCTTACTGTAGTGAAGACACTCGTGTCAATAGTCGCGTCCTAACCCCTGACTCCGGATCCTAAGGTGAGCACCTACCGTAAGCACTAGACAAGAATGTAATAGTAGCACGTTGTGATTATAGACATGAGCTATCTTGGCTCTATTGCCGTCATGATGATGTTTAATGTACATGAGTTTGGCTTCCAAACCTGCAAATTCACCGGTGTATTGTGCTCATTGTCCGTTACCATGGCAACCTCGGTCATCGTTACCCCTGAGCGGAAGGACGGGGAGGTGGAAGTCGTCGGAAGGCAGCTGGGGAGACTGGAGCTTGCTCCCGCCGGCGAGAGCATTATCCGCAAATTTGGAATGCTGTGAGTCTCCACCGGGTAGAGGTGTTGTTCATTTCTGACGAGCCGACTGACGAGCTATGCGCTCAGGGAGTCGTACCAAACAGCTCTTCAGACTTTGGATTACATGCGCTCCATTATACTTGCATGTCGTTACAAGTTGCCCACAGGCCTTGTCTCCCAAACGACGCCACACGAACTGTTCTCCATCTTTAAGAAGGCCGCAGCTCGCGTTGTGCTGAAACATCCGCACTTGCACGTTGGCCTGGTGGCTGAGGACACGGCCAGGCCCAGTTGGGTGCGTCTGAATACCATCAATCTCCTGGACCATATCGAGTGGCGTACCGTAGGAAAGGGCGAGGACGACTTAGGGAAGGCATTCGTCGAAACGTCGTATGAGCAGCTCGATACCAAGTTCGGAAATTATCAGACCACGCCAGGATGGAAAATCAAAGTCCTCCGCCAGGAAGGTTCCGATTTCATCGACGTCCTCCTTGTTTTTAACCATACCATCATCGACGGCCGCAGCGCCAGGATCTTTCACGAAGACTTGCTCCAAGTTCTTCAGGATGATACTCAGACTCTGGAGAAGGGTTTGCTGACAGATCACATCCTGGAGCTCCCTGAGGACTCAACAGCCAGGCTCAACCCTCCAGCCGAGCATCTCGTGCACTTTCCCGTAGACGCAACCGCTCTGTTCTACTACCTCTCGCAGGAAGTCCAAACGCCAGCAGACAAATATCCCAGTCGACCGACGCAAGCACACTGGGCTCCTATCATGCCAACCCCGTTCAAGACCCAATTTCGCACCATCACCGTCCCGCGCCACGTGCTCGCCGAGCTGACCGAGGCCTGCCGTCAGCATAAGACCACACTCACCGGTCTCCTGCACGCACTGATCTGGGTAACACTGACGCCGCTCCTGGAGCCATCTAAGGCATCCGCATTCGAGTTCCTGACAGCCATGGACCTGCGTCGCTTTTTACCCGCACATCCCCCTTCCCACCCGTGGTTTGACCCTGAAAAGGCCATGGCGAACTACGTGACCATTGCGAACCACGTTCTCGATGAGGATCTTGTTGCGCAGCTGCGGTCCAAGCTTTCCCTCGGTAGTGCGGCCAATACCGGTGTAGCAGGGGTACAAGTACCCTCGGAGGAGCTCATGAACCTGGTGTGGACGGTCGCAGGTAAAGTGCGCCGCGAACTCGAAGCCAAGCTGGACCAGGGACTCGAGAACGACATGAACGGGTTTGCTCAGGCCGTGTGTGACTGGCGCGCGCAGCTGAGCGAGGAGGCGTGCAGACCGAGGCGGTCTTCGTGGGTTATTACCAACTTGGGCGTGATTGATGGAAACAATTCAGACTGCCGTCAGCAACTGGAAGCGTCTTCGTGGGCTATTACGAATGCACAGTTCATCATGTGCGCCAATGTCGTTGCTTCGGCCATCACGGTGTCTACTGTCGCGGTCAAGGGGGGAGATCTGACTGTTGCTTGTGCCTGGCAGGATTGTGTGATAGATGGCAAGGTTGGTGATGCGTTTGTGGCAGATCTGGAACGGTGGTTGGGTTTTACGTCTGGGTTTCAGGATGGCCAGGCGGCAGCAGAGCCTGCACCATGATGTAAGGCGGGCACGAACCATGATACGAGTGTAGGTACTGTACATTGAGAGGCTTCGACTCTTGTTAGTGCGGCCAAAATTTTGTGTGTGAAATTTGTCCTCTCGACTACCCCTCCTAACAGACCTCGAGACAAGACAAGTAGCAGGTTTCGAATGTACCTAGTGCTTCAGGCCAGACAGACCTAGTTAGGAAAACGCTTGATGTTGTTCAATGTTGCTTGCAGATGAAGGGTCACTCCTGCCTTCAGTGTCATTCAAGTTCAACTTTCTTCGCCCTACACAGTAACTGCCAACGTCAAGCTTTCGCCTTTGCATCAGCACGAGTTAGAACTCAGTCCTCAACTCCTGGTCCCGTCGTCAAAGAAGCCGATTTGTCACACAAGCCCTGGCGTAGAAATACTAGAAGTGCATACATTATGCTTATCTTCTCATCTCCAAATATTGCTCCGCAAATTTACCATCCGGGTGGTCATTCTCGGGTAGCATGCCCGGGGATCGCTCACGGGCGGGATGCACGAGCGTCCACGGTAGTTAAGTGTTGAGGCGTCGGGTGCAACCCATACAAGACTTCGGTCGTAGGCGTCTTTCGGCCGACGCATGTCATGACGCGATGGGGCCACTGTAACCCTTCACTAAGCCAATCGTATCAAACCCTCTTCTTGTTCACGGTTTCCCGATTTGGAATGCTGCCACACCGTCAAACGTCTCGGCTTGGCTTGAGTTTAGCGGCCACTTTGCTAACTCTACCTTAGGACTTAGGTGCTGATTCGAAGACCAGGCACGACTGGAGTCAGCCCACCTAGAAGATGATATCGTGCTGCGCCGTCGTCTGCTTTGGCAGACGACGTGAAGCACCCACAAGCTTAGTAGACATGTTCTGGGTCTAGTCCTTCTCGCGACCACATTTATTCCCAACTACCCAAGTAGTAGGTACTTGCTACTCTTTACCCTACAGCCGATCTCTGCTGGTCTCGCAAGACACCGGGAAGTTGCAGTTCATCTCCTCTTAAGTTTGGGCACGATGGCGCGGTACGCGTCTCCTTTGAGTCAAATCAAGCCCCTTCAAGACGTCGGGTTTGCTTTCAGTTGGTACGGGGCATACGACATCGCCAAATCGGGCCTCCTGCTCCTGGCAGGTGTCTTCTCAATTTACCACCTGGGCAAGCTCATCTACAACCTGTTCTTCCACCCGCTGCGACACATCCCGGGGCCATGGCTCTCTCGGGGATCGTATCTTCCGGAAATCTGGTACGATGTAGTGAGGAAGGGCCGCTACACAAAACAGATACAGAAGATGCATGAGAAGTATGGTATGTTAGACATGGCAGCTGAGGTTTGGGTGTTAAGGGGCTCGATATCTCACATTCTCCATACCAACAGGCCCGATTGTTCGCATCAACCCCGACGAAGTCCACTGCAATGATTGGCATTTCATCGATGAGATCTACGCCTCGGGAGCCAGGAAACGCGACAAGCCCGTACACCAGGTCAGGGGCAGCGCAGTGTATGGAACCCTTGCCATCATTCTTCACGTTGCCAACTTGAATCTCAAGCATGTGCTGACTTTTCATGCTCCAACCTGCAGCGCAGAGCGCGCGACATTCTCTACCACGAACCACGACCTACACCGCATGCGACGCAGCGCCCTGAACAAGTTTTTCTCGCGCGCGCAAATCGGACGTCTCGAGCCCACCATCCGTGATCTTGCTGAGCGCCTTTGTGACAAGATCCTGACAGTCGGGAAGGAAGGGCCCTTCGATGTCACGACAGCACTGAGCCTGTTCACAAGCGATGTCATCACCGGTTACTGCCTCGGTGAGAGCTTGGGTCTGATCGCGCAGAAGGGCTGGGAGCCCAACTTCCGGGAACCGCTTTACGCCCAGCTCAAGTTGGTTTACTTGTTCCGCTTCTTTCCCTGGTTGAAGCACTTGGGATTTGCCATGGCCATGTACGTATCCCAAACGCGTCACGGGTGGTGCAGAACTGGAGGCTGACTGGTGCAACCAGGTTCACCCGGCGCTTGTCGGAGGACATGGAAACCCTCTTTAACGTTTTGATCGTAAGTCTCGGCTTCGTTTCGCGTGCCCCAATCTCAGTCCAAAAACTCATACACCACTTCTCAGGTCGACATGCCCAACTACGTCAAGCGAGCGCAGGACAAGGTTGAAAAAGGCCTAGACGACGGCTCTGCTTCCGTATTCGGCCTGCCCACCGTGTTCGGGTCCGTGCTGCAATCCGATCTGCCACCAAGTGAAAAGGCCCAGCAGCGCTTGGTCGAGGAGGGCTTCTCCCTGTTCGTGGCTGGCACTGAAACAGTCAGCTGGGCGTTGACCGTCGTCACGTACCACCTGCTCACCAAGCCAGCAATCCTCGAGAAGCTCACCGCCGAGGTGCGCGGCGCGCTCGACGAGTCCGGGCAGCTGCCGTCGTGGGCGGCCCTGGAGAAGCTGCCCTATCTCGGCGCCGTCATCTACGAGGGACTGCGGCTCTCGTACGGCCTCGCAACCCGCACCTCGCGCATCGCCACGGGCGAGGACCTAGTTTACCGTGGTAGCTGGAAGCCTCAGGGCAGTGTGAAGCCAAAGAGTCTGGAGTATGTCATCCCAAGGGGATACGCGATCGGCATGTCTGCGGTTATTACCCACCATGATGAGGAGGTCTACCCGGATTCGCACTCGTTTATTCCGGAGCGGTGGCTGGATGAGAATAACCAGCATAGAAAGGAGCTTGACAAAGCGCTCCTTGCCTTTTCAAAGGGCAGCCGAGGGTGTATTGGCATCAAGTGAGTTCGCTTCGCACTCTGTCAGGGGTGATGCATCCCGCACTAACACGTCTCGCAGCCTTGCCTATTGCGAGCTGTATACGCTGCTTGCTCTACTGGTCGTGAAGGTGTTCTCGCATATGAAGTTGTATCATACTACCGAGGCGGATGTTGCTTGGGACCACGACTTTTTCAATCCCTTCCCTGTGTGGGGTAGCAAGGGAGTGCGAGCGGTGATTGTCAACTAACTGCATGGGAAGGTACTTATCTTACCCGTCTTATGCTGTTGTTGGTGCGAGCTTACAGATTTCTGGCATCATGGCAACGCTGTATTGGGCACCGTATACCTCGATTATGTATCTACATACAGTACGGAGCACTAAGGTACAGACTATGCAGGCTCCGATTCAACCTATAGGAAGAAGATGAATTTCTGTATATACTCGATGAAATCTAGGTTGCACTAACAAAACACAACCGTTGAACCCTTGAACCATCAAAAACAACCGCTCCATACCTTCAGTCAGCCCATTAGATCTGAACAGTGATCTTGCCCGTTTCTATACCGGCTAGCGATTCTCTCCCAACGCTTTGTATCGCACTTTATTCGCCAGAGTTGGCGTTTACATCATGATAGTTGTCCGTTACCTAACCGTACCCCACCCACCCCAGCCACCGGCTAATAGCATTCACCAGCCACCCCCTGACCCCTGACGGACTCACCAGCCACCTCCTATCGACATTAACATGAACATGAGCTCAAGCAGAATCCGCAGCCTGCCTGGCCCAATAGTCCATGTACGCATCCTGGGTAAACACACTTGACGCGTCAAACGCAGGCCAGGTCGCCATATTATCCGCCAGTGTGGGCGCCGAGCTGATCGACGTAAAGTCGCTTATCGTTGAGCGCATATCTGACAGATCGCCAGGCAGCCACGAGGTCATATCACGCGTAGCGGCCGATGTCGGTTCCACAATCGCATGAGTTGTTGTTGCGGGTTGGGTAGTCGTCACGGTGGTCAAGGTCGGTGCAGTTGCACGTCTTACCAGTGGTGCTGCTGTTGCTGCTGCCGCGATACTCGCCACCGGCGGCACGTCCGGGTTCTCGGCATTCTGAATCGGCATCACGGTTGCTGCCGCTGCTGCATCGTCCGCAACTGCAACCGCCTCGTCCGCGGCCGTTTCCATGCGCGCGCTGAGCTCCGAAGCCTTGCTCAACAGCTGCGTCAGAGTATTTGCCCCCACATCCGCCATGTTCGACACCGCCGCGAGCATTCTCAGGCGTTTCAACGCGTCCTTTACAGCCGAGAGACACCCCTGCAGCGTGACGCGGCAGAGCCCGGCCTGGAGGGGATCGGCCTTGAAAACGGGCGCGCCGGGAGGCGGCACGTGCTGTTGCGGACACACCTCGGGAAACGTCGGATCCGTGCACAGCGACACGAGGAGCACCGCGGCTTCAAAGGTCAGGAAGACGATCCCCACCAGCCGCGTATGGCAGTCCCCGAGCAGGGCGTGCAGCTGCGCGACGTTGTCCAGGACGTGCAGGGCCGCCGAGGCAAGCTTGCGCTTTTGCCAGCTCAGCATGAAGGACTTGTACGCGGGCAGCGGGGCGGGCCGACGCAGGAGGAGTGGTCGGAAGTTCCAGCACATGGACTCGTAGATGGTCATGTGCAGGAGCTTGCGCTGCAGGGGCAGCTTTGGAATGCGCTTGTCCCACGTCTCGTCCGGGTTGGCGAGCGCAAAGGCTGGAGGCAGCTGCGAGACGTACTCGCGGCAGAACCGCTCGTACCGTTCTTCTGCCGCGACCATGTCGTATTCGTCCGTGTCCTGCACGGGGCCTGCGGTGCGCCAGAAGTTGGCCAGGTCAATCTCCAGGAGCCGCTCCGTGAAGGGATCGGGCGTGTCTGTGCCTGGTTCTAGGCTGCTGTCAGAGTCTGGTCCCCGGGCGGATGCACTCCGGAGGATATGCAGCTGCGGCCGTTTCCCGGGGGAGAGGGTTGTTGGAAGGAAGGGGAGGCGGTCTAGCTGCCGAGAAAACAGGCTGTCATAGATATACAGGTTACAAAACGTCATGCGTTCTATCTCTCTGTCGGCACTTTCCCCGCTTACACGCGAGGTTGCCGCATCGCAGTGCATGCCGACGTTCTGAGCGACACGGATGGCGCGGCTTAGCGCTTCCCAAGATGCGTTGGTCTTTCCCTCGGCTCGGCATTGGAGGCCATAGTAGGCAAGATGCTGCACCCGAAATAACGAGCCTCGGCTGTCTGCTGCCGTGCTGATGGCTTCGAGGCTATCGGCTGCCTCGTCACACAGGGTCCGCACGTCGGCAAGCAGCATCCCGCGAATCTTGTCGAGCGTGTACCCCGGAGACGGCAGGAACTGTAAGGCATACGAGCAAATGCGTAATACCAGGATGATAAAGTCAACTTCGGCTACCAGAGTGACCCTTTCTACTAGCCATAACGCCCGGTATTTGGGCAGAAACCAGGGAATGTGCACCAGCTGGTCCATCCTGTCCGAGCAGCGTGTCAGGATGATTTGTTGCAAAAGGGGCGGGGGACGGTGGCGGACAGGAGTACGAACCAGTTGATCTCAGTTACAAAGAACTGTACCAGAAAGTCCAATATCTGGCGGTCAGGCATCCTCTCCATGCTGCGATGGACCTCGTCTGCCGCTTCTGGGATAAGGGTTGGAGATCTGGTACTGGAGATGTCGGGCGAGGCTATCCCGAACTGAAGATCATGTCAATAAACTTCCTGTGCTTCAGTTGTTACCGACCTAGAAACGAGCCTTACCTTTTGTATCAGGGCAAACGTGTTGCTGCTGCTTCCTTCAAAGTAGCCGAATGATTCGGCCAGCGAAGGCCCTGACCACGGCGCCGCGGCCGACGGGACCGATTTGACGTATGCGTTCCATTCATTTCGCAGACTCGATGACCGGATGCTGCCAAGCTTTGCTTTTTCCCTTGGCCTATCCTCGGCTCGAGAGTCCAGAAGAACTTGGACGGTTGGAGTCGCTGTCTGGGTAGCAGAAGTCGAGTTGTAGCTATGATACACGCAGTCCTTTTAAAGTAACATTAGTTTATTATCCAGTATTGTGAGGATTATATTGTAATGCCTCTTACCTCTATGCACTGCCGTCGAACACAATGGTTGCATGGGAACTCACGATTGCACTACCATCTGTTAGGGTCGCCTAGACTTCACCCAAAGCTTGATGGAAGTTGATGGGGCAAGCGGAGAAGACTCCGCGCGGTCGGTACGCAAATCCCCGAGAGCGGGAACTGACCTTTTGCTTTCGTGTGTAACATGGTATGCACGATGAAATGATGCGTTTTCGCGTACTCATTTCTTCGGCCGATTAGGATGATGAAGAACTGCCAACAACCAACAAAGTAGGTTTCGGAATAGAAATGGGAAATCTGCTGGACTTTCTCGGATTCTAAGTAGAGTACTCCGTACTGCTGTGAGGCACTGTAGGTACTCACATAAGCGTCCCAAACCAAGGTTGCTACGGGGGGTTCTGAGGGGGTGCATCATGCGGCTTTGTGGCCCGCGGCATCATGACCGGCTGTATCCGTATTGGCCGGGGGCACATTGATACTCAAAGTACACTAGTAAATACCCCCTTCAGACTAACCAGGTATAGACCAAGGGCTTCTGTAAGGGCAGCTTGTATGTACTACTCAGACCTGGATAGATCCCGCCTCAATTATCCAAATCTCGCAGGTCACAGGCGTTGCAAAGATGAAGATGGAGCGGTGTAGCTTCTAGCATGGCAACCCATGGGTACAGAGTTCAGAGCTGCAGAGCGCTCGTTCGAGCACACGCTCAAACAGCCCGCCACGCCTCTGCGTATGTTGTGCTACCAGGCAAGCGAAGAGGGTGATATTTTGCTTCGGTGGATGTCCAAGGAAGAGGAGAGAAAGACAGGCCTTGGCATGGATCTGGGGCACAAAGACAAGCATTGGAATTGGGAGGCCAAGCTCCCGATTCCACAACGGGCCGGTAGGGCTGAGCCTCTAGTGTTAGCTTAGCGGATTACAAGTGTAAAATCCACTACATCACACTAAAATATAGTGCAAGTAACGCTATCTTAGGTGCAATGGGGCAACAAGCGTGGGAATCTTGTGTTTCCCATGGGGAAGACGGGAATCCAGCTAAAAACCTGGAATACCCTCTGCATCAACTCAGGTACCAAGCCATTGTTTGATCCCACGAAAGTTTCGAATATAATAACATCCCCCTAAGTACTGCGATGTGTTACTTACAGCATTACTTTACAATACAGCACAATACATACTGAATACAAGACCGCTCGGTTTCGTTTCGACGATGGGTTCTGTCAGAGACCGGACCTTTGCTCGAATCTCCTGAGGGTGCCTCACACGTCTACGTACGCTGAGTAAGGTACACACCGTACAGATAGGCTCATGATAATCGTCAATCCAAATCATTGGCCAAGTTGCAGTCTTGGTTCTCTGGAAGCTTCCATTGCCGCATGGAACGTTTGCATCCATGTCTTGACCGGAGGGGTTGGGGTTACAGCCGCCTATGAGATTGCGTTATCAGGCCCAAAGTAGGCCCAGTAGGTACTGAACCGTATCTTACAAACAGGGCAGCCACCACCGGTTAACGGCACGATGATCGATCGAGGCAGAGCGCTAAAGCAGGCACTTTGCGCCCCTGTCGCTTCGGTCGTTCGATTTCCGATTACTCAGGAAGTACACTGGGGATATATCACACAGGAATACCTACTGTTATGGCACCACCACCACGGGGCAAGTTGATATACAGTAATGTACTCCGTAGTGCTGCCTATGGAAGGGACTTTGTGGAATCTATGCGGAATATAGACGCAGCGGAATACGCTGTGGAATATGCAGCTAAGGCATCTCGGCTTCCACTCGGCAGGTGTTGCCCTTTTGAACGCTGCGCCGTCTCACTGCATTTTCTGACCACGTTTCCCATGTACGTGTACTGTACAATATCGTAGACTGTCGGGTAGGTGAATGGATGTATCTTACACTCACTAACGCTTTCTTCGGATTGTCAATCGCCGTTCGGTACGTAAGTATGTATTGTCTGTATATACATACAGGAGAATAATACCGGCGCCCCTTCCCCGGAGCAGATTCCGCGATCGCCAAGTCCCACCATGCCTCGCTTTAGGATCCTTGGACCTCGGACTTTGATCGATTAGGTCCCACATACACTTTCAACAGTCCGATGTACTTTACATGATGTACACGAATGCACCTTCTGTCCCTTCTTCCGGAGAGCTAGAAACTTGCTATAAACCTGAGATAGCGTCTTCTCCGCAAAGTGTGGGCGAGCGTGGAGCCACATTTCATGTATACTGTACTGTAAAGTATGACGAATACACGTGTATGTATGTACAGTACATACTGTGCAGCGCTATGTTGACCAAACCGGCCCCAACCCGGCGCTTGCGGTTAAGGTTATGCCGAATCCCGCTGTGGGGCTCATGTTCTAAGCACCAAACGTTACAACAAAAAACAATCTTCATTACGAAAAGGGGTTCAACAGCATCCAAATCCACCAAAGTCGTCAAGACACCTCAACAAGCATGATGATGAACACGACAAAATGGGGCATCAAGCTGGACCCTGGGAGCCCCTGGTTTGTGTTAGTCCCTTATAGGCAAAGTAGCTGTTTTTGTGTCGAATTGAGTTTTGGCTTTTAACTATCTGTCGACAGATCTCAGGGGCACCCAAACAACGAAAGGTGTACCGTACAATACCACACTCCATGGAATTACCTCACCTACCTGACGTGGCCGAATCGTTACAGTGGGTAGCAGTGGGAATTACCCTGCTGAAATATCTCGCATCCTTCCTTCCAATTACCACGTCATACTGTGAGCTCACTACCTACGGTACGTACATGGTGGGAGCGGTCGGAACGCAGATTACCACGGGGCATTGGTCCCGTCATAGACGTTCCACTTTCCTTCCTTTGGCACCTCCCACCCCTTAACAAACACCTTGGGCATCTGTCCGTTATACTCCTGGCCCTCCTTGAAGATGATGTCCAACGAGGCCTTGGCGCCCTCCTCGGCCGTTAAATCAGCCATGTCACCGCCTCCCAGATCGGTTTTCAGCCACTAAGAAAGCCAGTGTCAGCAATGCACGTCATGTACCGGCGGGAAGGGAGAGAGCACATACGCCAGGGCAGAGGGCAATGAAGGAGAAGCCCTCCTTTTCGTACTCAAGCGCATACTGCACGGTAAGCGCGTTCATGGCTGCCTTCGAGATCTTGTAGGCGGGGGCAGGGAGTGCGGAGGCGGCCCGCGCCAGCGTGATGGAGCCCATGGTGGTCGACCTTAGCAAATATGTTAGCAATCAAAAGCGGCTAAGCGGGTAAGCGGCACAGTAGACCGGAAGTCGCCTTACATGTTGGCCACTTTCTTCAGTGTGCCCTTCTGGAGAAGGGGCAGGAACTCCCGAGTCGTCCAGTGGACGCCCATGACGTTGATAGCGAAGCTTTCTTCGAGGTTGTCCCTGAATGCGGTTAGCTTCTCAGTCGCACCACATGTTTTGTGTGCTAGGGAAAGCGTACATCGACTTGACCCCGTTAAACGCATATTGGCACACTCCGGCGTTGTTGATCAAGACGTCCAGCCCCTTGCCTCCCAGCTTGGTTTCGACCTCGACTGCCGCCTTCTTGATCGAGTTTTGATCCGTGACGTCCAGCTTGACAACGAACACCCGGTCAGGCGACTTCTGCACGAGTTCATTCAGGGCTGCTGGGGCATCTCCTCGGATCGCTGCAAAGATTTTGCTGACGGCAGAGGCCGGGCGAGAAGCAAGCTCACGAGTGAGGGCGAGACCCAAGCCTCGAGAGGCACCAGTAATGAGGACAGAGGCCATTGTGATGGTGATGTGGTGTTAAGGGTAGAGGGAGTTCTAGCCTTGGGTTGGTCTACTTTGGTCGAGTTGTATAATGGCGAGACACCGTGATTGATGAATGAGCTTGAAGACCATCGCAGCTGTTCGATGGTCTGTCTGTCTGTTATAGCCAACAGCGCTGGTTGATGCCCCGCAATCCATTTGCACAGCGATTTCTAAGCCAGCGGCTTCGAAGACAGCCGCAGTCAGAGCGCCTCGTGCGGCTAACACACGAATCCCGCTACACAGAATTGAAGATGTGTTTCGATCTCGAGATTCTGCGAAGATTCCATCGATTTGTAAGCCATTGTGATTGGCCAAGATTGAGGAGGCTCGGCCGACGCACGATGGGACGCCCGATAGCTAACCTTAATTGTTGGCCCTTGCACACTCTCTGGTGCTACCCTGTAGCCGTTTCAGGGGACTGTGTCGGCCGAGGCTGGGCTGGATTCTGTAAGGCTGATAGAAGGATGCGGACCAACATACTCACCTGCCATAAGTAATAGCAAGAAACCCATGAGTGTGTACAGTACAGTAATTGTACATGCAGAAAAACACAGGAGTAAACCCTAGCAGTGCGTTTCATCCTTCGTGGCATTGTAAGTGTGTCTCAACAATCCAAACACCGACTCGATGGATCCAAACTCACTTATACGCAGACCCCGGTGATACCACTAGCCACACAGGTGCCACGGTATGCAAGGAAATTTGGTCTTTTTAAAGACTTTGGGAAGCAAATAGAGAACCACACCATGGGAGACATTGGAGAGGAACGCTCGACTGACTGGAGCCTGACCAACGGTCACGGCTACATTTTGAACCGTGACCGCAGTCATGCTGCAGCCAGTCGTCTCAATCTCCAGTTCTACCTGTGGAAGGATGCGATGAAATTCAACATTCACCCTTCCATTCGGGCCTCACTGCCCACAAACGCCGCCATTGCTGACGTGGCATCGGGAACCGGTATCTGGCTCATCGATACGGCGCGCGAGCTGTCGGAAGAGGCCCAATTAGATGGGTTGGATTATAATCTCCAGCAGGCGCCGCACCAAAAGTTTCTGCCCTCCAATGTCCGAATGCGGTACTGGAATGTGTTCGACGACGTCCCTGACGATCTCGTGGGCAAGTACGATTACGTCCACACCAGACTGTTGCTCCTAGTCGTCGAGTCGAAGGATCCTCGACCGATCATCCGGAACCTGCGCAAGCTGCTGAAACCTGGCGGGTACTTGCAGTGGGACGAGCTCGACACCGTTCACATGAGCGTCAAGAAGGCGGATCCGAATCTGAACACGCCAGCTTTGGACCAGCTCCGCGACTGGTCATGGGCGGATGGCCGCCACGACTGGACCGTCAAACTGGACCAGTTCATCGCCGAAGAAGGGTTTCAAGATGTCAAGGCCGAGTTCATTGGAGATCCCCCAGAGCTGGCAAGGGCTTTCAACGAGCAGCACCTTCTCACCGCAGAGGAGTTTGCCGAGGGCTTGGTGAAACTTGGGAAGAAAGAGGTGGCGTCGAAATACTTCAGCCTCGTTGAGGAGGCTTACAACGAGTCTGCGGCTGGAGCTGCTCTCAGCGTGCCGAGAGTCGTATGTGTTGCGCGAAAGCCGCTTTAAGCACATGCACGCCGCGGATGCGTCTTCTACATGTAACCTGAGTCAGCATATCACGAGAAACAAGGTATTTGAGGATAAGTCATAAGTGAGGCCCACCTAAATGGGCCAAATCATTGCATTGAGCAATGCTTCGACATGGCTAAGTGTAAAAAAAGGTTGCCAGCTCTCATGGCGATTGGTGACCTTGCTGAACTTGGAATACCCGTATGTGTGCATGTGCTACGACTGCCAATCGCGATGGTTTTGCGGCGACGAATCGATGATTCCAGTTGATGAATCTGCTCCCGGTGTTAAACTTCAATCCCGTCGTTATTTTGAAGGGAAAATTGAGAAACCACTGCAGACAAGGCTGAGCGGGGGTTCATTGCAAGGGTGACCACTCGGACCCCCAGTAAACTCAAGTTCTTCCTTCCCTTCCGTGCCTCCACAGCAGTTACTCCACAGCGAACCGCGACCCTTTCACCAATACCAATTCCCATTCGTGCTTTTCAACGCGAAGGCTCCGAGCTTTCTTCATCCGCGCCATCCCAATGCGTGAAATTCCCAAGCTGACACACTTTGAAAGGGCGCAACATCTGCTAGTGCAACTGATGATTTCATTTCAATGTAACTAACATGCAAATTGCGACAACTACGGTAACCTTTTGACCTTCCCTACACCTGCTACGCCGTTGCCCGAGAGTACAAACGAAAACAGAATGTCATCCAATTCCATCCATCTATGCCTTCGCCTCGAGCGCCTTGTCGGTTATGCTGGCAGCCCGCGCACTGATCGAAATCCCGGGATCGAGCAATTCAAGCATACTGATCTGAGTCCCGAGCGCTTTAAGGAACCAATTGCGTAGCTCGGCCGCAATCAGACTGTCCACGCCCAACTCTGCCACACTCTTGGCCGGGTCAATGCCCTCCGCATCAACGAACAGCATCTCAGCAACGGCGCGGATGATGGCTTTCTCCACAAGTGCAACCGTGGCCGCCCGTCCAGAGGCACCCTCCCGAACAGCCGCGTCAAACTCCTTGCGCACAGAAGCGGCCGTGTTCTTGGATCCTTCATCTAGCGATGCACCCGAGCCGGCAGACTGCTTTTCGCGTTGCGCATCCCTAAAGGCCCGCATTATCAGGGCGATTCTCCCGTCACTGTACCAGCCCGGTGTCCTGTCGGCCGCGGAGCCTTCTGCCTGCAGTTCGCGGCTTGCCCGGGCCGCCATGGCCATGGGATCAAGGTAGGTGTGCAGATTTGCCGCCGACAGCGGATCATCCTGTTGTCCAAACCACTGCTCTGGGCTCGCCTTTTCCGCCGTCCTGTTGTTCAGGAATGCCGGCTCAAGGAGAGTCAAGAACTGGGACTCGCCTATCGTCAGGGTCTTGTTGCGCTCAAAGAGGTTGACTGTCAGGTCGGTTGTGCCCACAGTCGTAATTTCCCGAATCAAACTGAACGAGACAGTCGATGCGGGCAAGCCCAGTTGTTGGCGGTATCTTGCGAAGGCATCCTGGAAATTGTTGGCTGCAGTGTACGCGCCCTGCGTTGCAAATGCGTATACCGACAGGGCCGAGGTGATCATGACGAAGAAGTCAAGAGGCATGGAGAGGGTTGCTTCGTGCAAGTTTTTGGTTCCGTCCACCTTGGCTGACAGACCATCGTTCCACCGTTCGGCCGAGAGCTTATCAAATGTGAGGTCGAGATACGAAACAGCCGCGTGCACGACGCCCTTGATAGGACGTGTTGTGGAGAGTTTCTGGATCACATGCGCGACTTGTTCTTTTTGGCTGACGTCGCAGACGAAGCCCTCGACGTGGATGTCGCGGCTGGCTAGGGTTTCGACAAGCTCCTGAGCTCCAGGAACGCTGGAAACGTGCCGGCGAGAAAGAAGCGCCATGTGTCTCGCGCCCCGATCTCCCATCCACCGAATCAGGGACTGGCCCAAGCCCCCCAAAGCTCCGACGATGACATAGCACGCCTCAGGGTCAAAGCGGACTGTGGGGCCCGAGGGGATCGTTCTGACGAGACTGTCAGGGTTCTCGAAGCCCACAACAAGCTTGCCGGTCATGTTGGCGAAGTTCCCAATCACTGTGGACAACTGAGCAACATCCACTGCTGTAAGCTGCGGGATTGGCCCAATGAGTCCTTGGCGGTGATAGCTATCGAGACTCTGCATCAACTCAGCACCCAAGGTCGGGTCGGAGTCGAGAACAGCGAAAAGGTCGATTGAGGAGTAGGAAGCATTCTGGGGGAGCACCTCTAAGCTTATTGTCGGAGCCGTTGGTCGATCGACTCGGCTCACCTCAATCAAGTGGCCCAGAGGTGCGAGCACTTGCAAGAACTGATCCGGGAGTTCGCCCTGATCAATCTTGACAACGACATCGAATTTGCCCTTGCGTGTTTCTTGTGCAGCGCGGCGCAGGGCTGTCAGGCTAGGTGCTGAGATGACGTGGGACGCTGGAAGGGCCAGTTTGTCGATGAGGGAGCTCGCTTGTTCGGCAGTGTCAACCGTGGCAAAGACTTCGGCCCCTTTTGCTTTGGCAAGGCAGATTGATGCCAACCCTACATCCTTTGCCCCTGACTGGATAAGCACCGACTGCCCCTTTCGGAGGTGAGTGACGTGATCAAAAGCATAGATCGCCGTGGCGTATGCGACCGGCATGGAAGCCATCTTCACCATGTCATCGCCCGGCTGAAGCTTGCTTGCGAAGGTAGCCGGTACGCGTGTGTGATTGCCGAAGCTGCCTCTTCCTAGACCGTAAACACGGTCACCAATCTTCAAGCCATCGACGGCAGCGCCTACCGCCGTGATGACGCCCGCATATTCAGAGGATAGGCTGTTTCCGTCCACGCGGCCCGTCCAGTGGTCCAGGTCGCGCGCGTTCAGGCCAACGGCAGAAACGGCCACATCGACAAAGTCTGGCGGCAAGGGCTGCAGAATCTCCTCAGAGGACTTGAAACACAACGAATTCAGCACGCCGGGCGTTTCGAAGGTGGCTCTCAAAGCGCCTTGACTACCAAGCGGCAGCAGCTCCGGCTTCTTGCTTCGGCTGTCCACACCGTGCTGTGAGTGGAAACCCGCGTCCGGCACGTGGCGACTAACCCAGAGGCAGCCGTCATGCCAGCTATATTCACGGTCACTCGGGTCACCCTCCAGATCGTCAGCAGGGACGCTTCCGCTCAGTTTGAACTCACGATCGACGATGCAGCGAGCAAGATTATTGGCTTCGGCTTCTCCAAGTTCGAATCTGTCCGCGTCGACGTCGACGGACATGTACTGGGTTGCAGGATTCTCGTTTTGGAGCACACGGAGCAGACCGGGGATCAGGGCACCATCTGGATTGCGTCCATTGACTGTACCGCAACTCGTGAGAACAACCAAGCTTGCCGCATTCCGTGCCAGATGCTGGAAGATCTTCAAGTCCTTCTCGCTGACTTTGGCCAAGAGATGCTCCTCGTCAAGAAGCAGCACCACGCGCGATTCGGGCCCGACTTTGACTGATGCCTCGCCCAATGTGCTTGCTTTGACACTTACTCCTCGCTGCTCCAGTTCCTTGCGGATATGCTCGCCGAGAGAGGGAGCTGCGGTGCCGCTGTAGAGCACATGGACCGTGGTTGATCGAGGCGTGTTCGCTGGTTCCGTGGGAACCGTCGATACAATGACCGATGTTGTGTTGTGCGGCTCAGGGAAGTCATCCAACACGACATCTAGGCCCGAGAAACCCGCTTCTCGAAGCGAGCGTTCCCATGCGGGCAAACTCTGGAAAGGAGCATCGACGCGGCCATCGGGGATACCAGCCCAGTACCCGGTAAACGTGCCCACAACGACACCAGGAACTATGAAGTTCTGATTGGTCTCGACCAGGACGAGCCTGCCTCCCGGCTTGAGGAGCTTCCGGCAGTTCTCCAACGTTCTGCGCATATTCGAGGTGGCATGGAGGACCTGGCAGGCAATGATGAGGTCGTAGCTCTGCAGGACGTATCCCTGCTCGACTGGGTCTGCCTCGATATCGAAGACGGAAAAGATCATGTCCCTATACTCGGCCATGGATTCCCGCGCCCCAGACAGGAAACCGGCGGAAATGTCGGTGAAGGTGTAGTCCCGGTATGCCTTGATGCCGTTAGGGCCGCAGAACGCCTTCATGGCGATGCGTGTGGCGCCTCCGGTGCCGCCTCCAATTTCCAGGACGCGGATATTGGGGTTCGCATGAGCAATTCCGGCCAGCACATGGTGCAGCTGCGGGTAGATGCCTGTCATCAGAAGGCCGGATTGATACAGAGGTGTGAGCAAGCCCTCGCCGATGATGACGTCCATCCCTGTTCTGCGTTCATACAGGATATCGGCCATGTTGTCGTGCAGCAACTTTGCAATCCGGACTTCCATCACATCATTGGCCTGACTGGCGAGCTCTTCAATCTTCTGGAGAAGAACGCCCTTACGGGCAAGCTCTCTTGCCTCCTCCATCAGCTCGGAGCGATCATTTTGCCCTTTCCTCTGAATCCAGGCAAAGAAGTGGCCCACGTCACCAGAAGGTTTGGGTCCGTCCTGCAGTTTCCCAAAGGTTTCGTACATGCTAAGAACCACGAAGTGAGCCAGCTTATTCGTGATTCCCCACGCCGGTGACTTCTCCACGTTCTCCTTCGGAGGAGGGTACAGACGGCGGGCCTGACTGTTGCTCAGCGCGCGGATGTCTGGCCTCCAAACGAGACGCGTGAACGGACTGCTGAACCTCCTGTCGACAGGCTTGGCCGCGCTAGAGTAGCTGATGCAGCGGAGGCCATCAACCTGGAGCAGGATTTCGCCGCCGGGGCCAAGCATCTGCAGGTCAAGGTTGGCACTACGGATGCCGCGCCTCTCCCCACGGGCGATGACAGTGCAGGCGTCTCCCGCAATTGCGTCGATGTCGTTGACGAGATACAGGCTAGAGAGCTGGACAGGTACAAACGCCGTGCTGGCCTCGCTGGAATGGCCGCCGTGACAGGCAATCAGTCCGAGCTGGATGGCACCGTCGAGCGAAGCCGGATGCAGTGGGTAACGCGACTCGCCTCCTTTGAGCGACGTCGTGTGCAGATTGACCGTTGCCACGGCAAGGTTCGACGTTGGATCGGCACGGATGTTGGAAAGGGGCTGGAAGGCAGGGCCATAACCGAGCCCGACTTCCAAGAACTTCTCGTACCAGGCGCGGGTGTCGACTACGCGCGAGACAGCAGGAAGAACCTGGTGCGGCTCCACGTGCTCCTCGGCAGGCCCAACCTCGACCTTGACATGGCCGGTACAATGCTCGGTCCATTCGTTGGTTAGCCGTCCAACCGAGCTGATGGAGAAGGTCGCCCATGCAGGTGACTGGCCCGTGGCCGTGTCGACCAGCTCCAGGGTTGTCAGAATCTCCACGCCGTAGTCATCCTCTGGGATTACCAGGCTCTTGTTGATGGCGACATCACGGAGGGAGAAGCCCCTGATCTTGAGCGCCTCGGGAAACTCTTTGTGAACCCGCGAGGCGGCTTCCACTGCCATGGCAAGGTATCCAGCGCCGGGAAGCACAGCATCGGGCACGAGGCGATGGTCGGCCAGCCACGGCACGTCCTTCATACGGAGTATGTTGCGCCACTGAGGTCGTAGCTTGGCGGTGCCCGCGACCTTGGAGCCCAGCAGGTCGTGTCGGAGAATCGATCGGTATCGATACTCCTTGCTCCCCCGACTCTCGTAGTAGTTCAGCCCACCATAAGTGTACTGGTACGGTGGAAGACCGGTGCAAACGCAGCCATGCTGCATACCAGTCGCGGCCGGCTCGTCAACAGCGTTCACGGCAGCCAGGTCCACAGGCGCGTTCCAGGTGAAGAGCGTCCCAGCAAGTTGCAACAACGCCTTCCTTCCGTCTTCCTGACGCTTGACCGTCGCTCCATATGTGACAGTCGCCCCAATCGCCTTGATGATCTGCTCCAGCGGGCTCTTAAGTGTTGCGTGGGGCCCAATTTCCACGAGAGCCTGGATCGGGGCGTCCCTTCCGTCCAGGAGACGGGTGACGGCCTCGGAGAAACGCACCGGAGACTCGAGGTTCGCTCGCCAGTACGACACAAAGTCATCGATCTCAGCAGTGCTCTTGGCGGGCGTGACTGACGAAGCCCACAGCACGGCCGGATACCGATCCTCGACAGATACTAGACCAAGCTTTCGGATGTGCGCGATTCCTTCGGCAAGCATCTCGTCGTACTGGCGTCCAATGGGCTTCATGTGGTGCGAATGGTAGGCATTGCCCCCGGTCTTCAGCTTCCGGTTGAAGACGCTCTTTGCCGTCATTTCCGCGGAAACCTCGTCAATGGCATTTTCATCTCCGGAAAGAGTGACGCTCCCGGGAGAGTTGATCGCTGCCACCTTCACCTGTTCCTCCCGGCCATCGAGATAATTGGCTGCCTCGTCTGGTCCGAGCCCGACTGCCAACATGGCACCGGTCTGCCTGTTCCTAGACACTGCCTGACCACGGATATAGGCTGCTACAATGGCTTCGGCAGCCGTGATGCGACCGGACGCATAGGCGGCAGCAATCTCGCCCGATGAGTGTCCGGCGACTCCCGAGGGACGGACAGACCAGGAAGCGAGCAGATCAACAAGACCGACTTGAAGCGCCGTGCACACAGCCTGAGAAACCTCGGCAGTCTGGATCAGAGACGGGTCGCAGTCGCCGGAGAGGATGCTACGCAGAGACCACGACGGGGCATTAGGGAGCGTGCCAAGGACGGAGTCGAGGTAGTCAATGGCTGTGCGGAACACGCGGTACTCGAACAGCTCGGCGCCCATTCCGTGCCACTGCGCACCCTGACCTGTGAAGATGAAGCCCAGGTTGACAGTATGCAGTGCTGCTCGTACGGGCTTCTTGTCCACGACAAGATCGCCAGCGGCATCGTCCTTGTCCACGATGCAGAAGGATCGCTGCGCAAATCTGGACCGCCGCGCTGCGAGTGTGTATGCGATGTCGGCCAAGGAGAATTTGTTGATCACGCCCCGCAGTGCGTCGACGTATAGCTTGAGTGATTGCTCGTTGTGCGCAGACAGGGGCAGCAGGACGAATTGCCGTGTTGCTGCGTCGGGTGTGGCGGTCAACCTCGGGCTCTTCACGACGGGGTGGTGCTGGGGAAGGGCCCTGTCGTGATGGCCATTCCATTGTCCGCTCCAGTAGCCGTTCTGGTAACCGTTTTGGTAACCGCTATGGTGCCCATTGTGGTGCCCGTTCAGATGGCCATTGCCGTTCGGATGATAGCCGTTCTGGTGCCCATTTTGGTACCCGTTACGATGGCCGTTATGGTACCCATTTTGATGGCCGTTCTGGTGGCCGTTTGTATACCCGTTTGCATGCCCATTGGTCAGGCCATTTGTCGGGCGCTCTGCTGGGCTCTTGAAGACGCCAGGGGCCACATAGTCTGGCAGCACGTTGTTGACATGATCGATGATGCAGTGGGCATTCGCGCCACCATATCCAAACGAGTTGATGCTAGCTCGGCGCAGGCGGTTCTTTGGCCATGGGGTTACCTCTGTAACCGGTTGGACCTTGGCGGCGTCGAAGTCGATGTTCGGGTTGCGTGTCTGGAGGTCGAAGATAGGAGGAATCGCCCCATTCTCGAGGGCAAGCACAACCTTCATGACTGACGCCAAAGCGCTGGCACCTTCGCCATGGCCAAGATTGCTCTTCACACTGCCGACAAGCAGCGGGTCGTCGGCGTCTCTGACCGGAGCGAAGACTCTCCCCACAGCCGCCACTTCGATCGGATCTCCAACGTACGTGCCAGTGCCGTGGCACTCAAAGTAGCTCGTGTCCTCGAAGGAGAGGCCGCCAGCATGGCGATACGCCTCGCGGATGACTGCTTCTTGGCCGTTGGCACTGGGCCGTGTGATACCGCCTGTGCGACCGTTGGAGTTCATGGCAGAACCCCTGATCATTGCCCGGATTGGTGACTTATCGGCTATCGCCAGAGACGGCCTCTTGAGGTAGATGGCGGCGAAGCCTTCTCCTCTGGCGTACCCTTCGGCTCTGGCATCGAAGGTGTGGCACCTCGACGATGCAGACAGCGCGCCAAGCTTGTCGAGGGCAATCTGGACGCCGGGGTCCGCGATCCAGTTCGCGGATGCCACAATAGCCGCATCGCAGTCACCAGCGCGGATCGCGTTCACTGCCAGATGCAGGGCGTACATGGAAGACGAGCAGGCGGTATCGACGGTAAGACTGGAGGTTGAATTGATTAGCCTTACGCTCTGGGGTCGGAGAGACAGCGGTGAAACGTACCTTGGCCCTTGTAGGTTGAAAATGTAGCTGATGCGGTTTGCGAGGATGCTGGTTCCGGCGCCAACAAAGGCATAGGGCCTCGGGTTGTCCCAATCGCGGGACTGAATCATCCAGTGATCCAAACAGAAGTTGCCAACGAAGACGCCAGTCCGGGATCCAGAGATGCTCTCCCATGTCTCACCAGCATTCTCTATCGCCTCGTATGCCACCTCGAGCAGCTTACGTTGCGATGGGTCCATGGTTTCGACCTCGAGGCTGGTCATGCCGAAGAAGGTATGGTCGAAGAGGCGGGCATCCTGCTCGGTAAGGAATGCCCCCTTCATGGCGAAGCCACCGGGCCGGTCCCCGTTAGGGTGATGGAACCCGCGCGTAGAGAAGCGTGGGTCGTCAAACTCCCTCCAGCCGTCCACCTTGTTGCAGAGGAAGTCCCAGAACTGCGAGGGATTGTAGACGCCGCCAGGCCATCGGCATCCTGTCCAACAGTCTCAGCATCCCGTCATAGCCGTCGTGAGCTAACTGGGAAGGGATGTCTTACCCATGCCCACAATCGCTACGGGCTCATGTTGGTCACGTTCACAGCGAGAGTTGGAGTCCATGGCGAATCTGGCTTGACTCAATCAACAGTTGAGATGCTGAGTGAGAGTGTTGAATAGCTAGCTCCTGGGCTGCGTAAGTCGAGTCTCTCAGTGCATGCGGCGTTGACAACTTCACCACCTCATAGGATAGGGGTCAATAAACAAAAGCTACTTATCTAAGTACAAATCCTGATACTGTCTCTCTTCCCACGATACATCAACATGAAGCTATCTACATTCCACTCTACCTTCCAAGATAGGACTTACACACCGCGTCGGCAATGCCATGTTGAGGTGCTGCTACACGTGTAGCCAAATCAGTGAGTGATAGGATATCAGCCGCGAGCCGAGAAGGGCCGATGCCATCGGCCGATGCCCGACGCCGCTTACTCTTGGAAAATCCGGGCGGCTCTGAGAGTCGGCTTCCGTGGGCGATTCCACCGAGTTCTACGCATATCAAGGTGGTATCTTGGCGGATCACATGTAGGTACGATCGGGATGTCAAAACGGGTGTGCCCTCGTCAACTCTTCAAGGGACTTGATTTTCAAGATCCAAGATTCACTCATATCATTACTTATCAAGGCGTCTCAATCAAGCTCATTTCCTCGCAATGACACAGATTACCATTCCGCGCACCACTACCACCGCAGTGCAGCCCTCTACGATGGCCAACCAGGAGAGCTCTGCCGTGTCCATTCTGGGCCTGGCCCAGAACATCGTCGAACTCACTCAGGACATGTCCAAGTATTTCCAGGCCAACAATCTTGTCGCGCCTACCTTTGCACTTGACTCGCAAGACCCACCGGACACGCCGGAGTACCGCCGCATCCATGCCGCCCTCAAGACGTCTCTGGAAGATCTCCTGCGTCTCATCGATGGCCCTCGAAAGTGGTGGAGGCAGTTCTGCTGCACCGGCTACGACCTCGGTGCTCTCCAAGTCGCGCTCGACTTTGAGTTTTTCCAGCTGGTGCCGAGCCACGGCGAAATCACGCTCGAGGAGCTGGCCGAGAAGGCCGGGCTCGACGTGGACCGCACCGCCCGCGTGGTGCGCCAGCTCATGACGTACCGCATCTTCGAGGAGCACCGTCCCCGGGTCATCTCGCACAGCTCCACGTCGCTGGTGATGCAGCAGGACGAGGAGCTGCGGTCTGTCGTGCACTACTCGCTCGACGAGATGCTCAAGGCCGCTGCCGACTGCAACATCACCTTCAAGGCGCACCCGTACGAGGCGCACCAGAACCTCAACCCGTTCGTCACGCGCCACGGGGTGGGCATCTTTGAGTACTACCAGAAGAACCCGGACAAGGCGCGCAGGTTTGCCAAGGCCATGGCCGGGCTGCGAAAGATGGACCGCCACCTTGACTACCTGCTCTACGATGGCTTCAACTGGGGTGCGCTCAAGGGCACCGTCGTTGACGTGGGCGGCGGCAACGGCCACATCTCCAAGAGCCTGGCTGAAGTAAGTCTCCTTTATCAGCTGCCGCCAACTTTACTTGTATGGTACTTACCGAAAAATCACCAGGCGTACCCCAACCTGAATTTCATCGTCCAAGACTCCAACGCGGACATGCTGGCCGAGGGACGCGAGTCGCTGTCGGAATCGCTGCGCGGGCGGGTGGCGTATTCACAACACAGCTTCTTTGACCCGCAACCGGTGCGCAACGCGGCGGCGTTCCTGATCCGGCAGTGCACGCACAACTGGGCCGACAAGGACGTGGTCAAGATCTTCAAGGCGTTTGTCCCCGGCCTGGAGGGGTCCAGCCCGGACACGCCCCTGCTTATTAACGATATTATCATTCCTGAGCCCGGCGTCTGGCCGCGCCATCTGGAACGTATCGTCCGCCAGGTCGACATGGTCATGCTTGTCAATTGTGGCGCTAAGCAGCGTACCAGGGCGGAGTTTGAGGCGCTGCTGAAGGAGGCAGATCCAAGGTATGAGATTCGTAATGTCTTTGATAATGGGCCGTTGGGGTTGCTGGAGGTTTATCTGAGGAGGGATTGAGAACTCGGATGGAGTGTCAGGCATGATGGAAATGGAGGCAGCAATGGGTAGGGGAGTGGTTTCCGCTGGTGTCAAACACTGAGTGTAGGCCGGGGCATACATCATGATGCATGTAGGGTAGTATTTTGGATGAGAAAGCCTCCCCCTCATTCGACAGTCAAAAAGGGGGTGTAAGCGGATGATGCTCAGCCAAATGGGGACATCTGTTTGCATTCTCGGCTCGGTGGGCCCCGAAAAGGGGTTTATTTGTCCGAACTTGAACTGCATGAGCGGGTCGTCGGCCGATGAACCATTGCATTGCTTACATGTAGCTTGCTTAACAATCAGACCCCTGGTTCGGCGACGCATCAGCATGGGATCACGGTACAAGTGCCTTGCATATACTTGTAGCGGGCATATTAAGTTCCCGATCACATTCTGGATATCTCTGTGGTGTCTGGTTGAATACCATGATAAATGTAGTTTCAGGTTGATTTGTATTAATATCTACTGTTAGTGTTAGTGCTGTTTCATCAACCACCGTATCCAACACAATGTCTGCTAGAATCAACACCATTTTGATCATTGGTGCTGGCGGAGGTATTGGCGAGGCGCTTGCCCGTCGATTTCACAGCTTGGGAAAGAAGATTATTGCTACGGGCCGCGAGCAAGACAGGGAGAAACTGACGCAGCTAGCACGGGATCTTCCCGGGCTTCAGTTCCGAGTGGTATGTCTAGGCATGTCATAGTATCATACTAAGTATGTTCTGCTAATGATCGGAATTTGCACCATCCAGTGGGACCTGACGCACCTCGAGACACTGCAAACCGAAGTCAGGGGCATTCTGACCGACTTCCCCAAGCTGGACTCGGTCTTCATCAATGCCGGCATCCAAACCTACTACGACATCTTCCAGCAGCCCGCCGACGACCAGACCGTCATCCGGGAGCTGACCACTAACCTCACGGCCCCAATCCTGGTCGCTCAGGCCTTTGCCTCGCACCTCCTTAGCCTCGCCCAGTCTGGCATCAAGACCAACCTGTTCCTCACCAGCTCATCCCTAGCCTACTTCCCCGTGCCGTTCTATCCGGCATACTGCCCGGCCAAGGCAGGCATCGCCGCGTTTGCCAAAATCATGCGGATGCAGCTCGAGGCGACAGGGTGCAAAAAGGACATGATGAACGTGGTTGAAGTTGTGCCGCCGTATGTTGATACTCCGCTGAATGCGGCACACCGTGACAAGACGGACGAGTTGCAGGGGGGTAAGGACAAGGCTGTGCAGCCCATGCCGTTGGGGGAGTATGTAGATAAGTTCTTTGCGGAGCTGGAGCAGACAAAGGAGGATGGGTCGTTTAGGGATGAGATTGGTGTTGGGTTTGGTGCCCAACTGGCCGCACTTTGGCGTAAGGGGTACCGGAAGGCTCTGAGTGAATCGGGCATGGCTGAGTGAGAGGATACGGATTTCGAAAGGATGACAAAATGATACTCTTAGGTTTGATAACTTGATATTTGTGCTCGATGGATCCATACGATAAACGTACATGTAGTAGTGACCAGCGGTGCTCCCCTTAGACATACCTAGACAACTCCAGCTATATCCAACTAAGTCCATGCGTAAATCCCCGTCTCTAACTACCTCTCCCACTAGATACATCTGATCACTGCACCTTCTTGATTCTGACATAGCACTGCTGCGGAACCCTTGCAATGCCCTCGAGTCCCGCATGGCTCGACAGCGCCGGCGGGGTCCTTTCAAACTCAAACTCCCACACCAGCATAGCAATGATAGTCCTCATCTCCATATGCGCCAGCCTCCGTCCCCAACACTGCCTTGGTCCGGCACCAAATACCAACTGCGGCCCCGCTGCTCCATCAAAATCCACATCCTCAGCCAGCAACCCCTTCCCCTCCCTCTTACGCACCAACCACCTCTCGGGCTCAAAAACAGACAAATCCCCCGATTCGTCCCAATGGGCATTCATCTTGGCGTTCCGTGAAGACTCACTTCTCTTAGAATCATCCACGGGCAAAGATGGCGACAGAAACCCGGGCCCGTTGGACATGAAAAACACCTGCGTGCCCTTCTTGATGGGGCAGCCGAGAATGGTCGTATCACACAAAGCCTCGCGCGTGACGGGCACGGCGTTGATGCGGAGCATTTCCTCGAGGACGGCGTCCAGGTAGGGTAGCTTGGCGTGGCGGATTTCTTCAAAGGTGAAGAGACGGTTTTCGTTGCGCGCGGTGGACAGGGTCGAGTAGAGGACTGAGCGCAGCTTGGTTTGGATGTGTGGCAGGTCGGTGAGGTATTTGGTCAGCCACATCATGGCGCCGCTGGTGGTGTGGTGCCCGCCGATTATGTCGCCGAAGAGCTGACATAGCGTCGTTAGAGCATGAACATGGTGGTCAGGGGGGATAGTGCAGGAGGACATACCTCGTCTCGGAAGACTTTGCTGTCAAAGTCGGGCTTGCGGCCTTCCTTCTCGGCTCGCGCAGCTTCCCGCATCAGCATGTGCTCGACGCCCGTCTCAACATGGCCGGCGAGGAAGTTCTTGACGCCAATGGCGACCTGTTCTTTCATGGCGCGCTCCTTGTCGTCGAAGATCTTCTTGTACCACGACTGCTTGGACCACCACCACGTCTGCAGCTTGGGCATGATGGCGTTGATGGTCTTTTCCACGATTTCTGGTACCTCGTAGACCGATTTCAAAAAACCCTCGACCTCGGGGACGGGAAAGGTGACGGGCTGGTCTAGGCCACCGAGTTCGATATCCGACGCAGATAGACCGCTTATGACCTCGATCTCCCTGCCCAATGCTGTGTGCTCCCAGTTCTTGCCAAAGGCAAACTCGAGCATCACATCGAGCGAGGCATACTCAAAGTCCTTCTTGACGCTAAACGGCCGCCCTTTTGCCAGCCGCATCTTCATCTCAAACAACCGCAGCAGCTCCAGCCCCTTGTTGTAGACTGCCGGCCCCACATGCCCGTCCAGAAAGGTGGTGGTCATGAGGTCCTGGATGAGCTGGCGGTTCGACTTGAACTTGTCGCCCGTCTTGTAGATGCCATGGAACTCGCCCACGCAGGCCATGCCGTCCGACAGAAAAGATGACTTGTCAAACTCCTTGCGGCGCATCAGGATGTCCTTGGACTCGCGGTAGTCGGCCAGCAGGATCCAGGGCTTGCCAAAGGGCCGGATAAAGACCTGGCAGATGGGCGAGTTCATGCGCTTGACCTGCTTGGCGCACCACACGCGGAACTCGCCCGTCACGCTGACTTCCTTGATCATACTGGGTATGTCACCCAGGAGGGACTTGGTCGCCTCCGGGTTGTAGGCGATGCCTGGGACTGGCTTTGGGAGGAGCCATTGATACAGCCAGTACAAGGCGAAAGGGATGGTGAATAGGGCAATGAAGATGGGACGGGAGACCAAGTCCCTGTCGAGGATCGAGACGGCCTGGAATGACGGCATGACGGCGTCGATGGTTGTTGTTGCTGCGAGCCTGAGCGGCACTGAACTCCAAAGTTCTCACAATACCTGGACGCTCAACTGAAGTTGGGCCTTGAGAAGAGCTCACAGGTCTGCAACTCACTCACTTACAGATTCCAGTAATCAGAACTCCACGGTCACCGCTGTATACCACTCAAGTTCCCCTTCGATCAGAGTGTACAACAGGAGCGATGCTCTCAACTGCCCACGTTGACGTCGCCAAGGCGCCACTTACACCAGCCAATGATACCCCTCCTTAACCCCGCAAGTCGGTCAACCCAACCCACGACCGATGGACTGCACGATACATCCTGTCCGCGGCTTACGGCAAATTCCGGGCTGCGCAGCCGATTCCATCGTATTCCATCTCATGCTCCGAGATAAAGGCACATGCAGCGGCTGCATGCACCCACGGGAGTCCTCCTGTCGCCCGTCCTCGCCCGTCCTCACTCGTCCTCGCCCCAGAACCGGGAGAGCAGGGGGGTCATTGCCGAGACTGCGTCGGCCGACAATTTAAGATTTTTTGAAGTTGTGGGGCCGACTGTCGGCCGATGCGAGGCCGACGCAAGAGTGAGGCGAAGCTCCACCTCAGCCGAGTCAGCCCCAGCCCTGTCACCTCATCCGCCTCATCCGGCTAGTGTATGTACCCATGTACCCATCCAGGGGTTCAGGAGTCCAGAACCCAGGAGTTCGTCCACAACATGCATGCAACCTTTCCATTCCTTCCAGAAGTTCCCCGTCCATGCCGATCAAAGCTTAACTCGAAATGAGGCGAGCCCCTTGCATGACAGGCGCATATCAGCCCCAGCCCTGCCTTGTCCCACGTCAACGTCGTCAGCTAGGAACACGTGCTATCAGTCTATCAGAGCCTAGTCAGCCCACCTGATCCAATATCCCTCACCTCTCCCGTCGCTCATAGGTCAGAGATGTCAATAGTTTCTCCCTCTGCCGTGCGGGTGGCTGCCGCGTGGATGCGGCTAGGTAGTTCATGAGGAACTTGAGGGAAATTCTAGGACTCTGCTCCATGCTTTCACACCATGTAGTGAGCAGGGGAACGGAGTAATCCTTCCAGAACAGGGGCCGTGATGACCCCGAGCTGTCCCGGAGAGCTGGGTCTGTAGATTAATATATTAACTGCAACGCAAATCTGCAATGACACCTGCAAGACGAGCTTGTCTCCTGTGTCTTCCACGTGCTTCCCACGTTGTAAGCTGCCAGTGTCCTGGTCAGTAGTCAAGTCATCACCATGAAGATCCTCGCGTCCCTTGTGTTGTCAATTCTCTCCACCGCCCCGACCTTTGTGGCCGGCGCGCCCACCACTCCTCGGTACTTTGAAAGAGCCCCCATAACCCGTCTCAATTTGACCAGCGCTGAGGTCCAGCGCGAGCTCGGCGCTCTGGTGTCCGACACGACCGTCATCTTTGGCCCTGAGGACAGCCGCTTTGCCGTCGCCACCGAGAGATGGAACAGGTTCGCCGTTCCGCAGATCCAGGTCGTGATTGCCCCCGGCCAAGAGTCTGATGTGCCGACTATTGCAAGTTCCCACGGGTTCTACTGGTACTGGTAGCAATGTTTGTCGGCTAACTGTAGGCCCAGGTCAAATACTGCAACGACAACAGCATCCCCTTTTTGACCATCAACCGTGGCCATGGCAACCCCCAGAGCCTGGGCACCTTCAACGGCGTCCAGATCAACATGATGAACCTCCTCCAGATCACCATCCAGCCCGACGGCAAATCCGCCTGGTTCCAGGGCGGCGTCTACGGCGGTCTGGTAACCAAATACCTCTGGGACCACGGCTACGTGACGACCACCGGCTCCTGCGACTGCGTAGGCCTAATGGGCGCCGGCCTCGGCGGCGGCCACGGCCGGCACGAGGGTCTGTACGGCATGGTCAGCGACAACATCCGGCAGCTCAACGTGGTGCTCGGCAACGGCACCGCCATCCGCGTCAATTCCACCAGCAACAGCGACTTGCTCTGGGCCATGAAAGGCGCAGGCCACAACTTCGGCATCGTGACCAGCTTCGAAATGAACATCTTCCCCCGCGGCCCCGACACATGGCACTACCACAACTACGTCTGGCGTGGCGACAAACTCGAGGCCCTCTTCACCGCGCTCAACGCCTTCCACAACAACGGGTCCACTCCGGTCAACATGACGGCCAACTTCGGCAATTTCTTCATGAACACCACCATCACCCCCGACGAGCCCGTCATCTGGTGGACGTTTGCCTACCGCGGCTCCGCGGCCGACGCCGAGCGGCTTTTGGCGCCATTCAACGCCATCGGGTCAGTCTACGAAGAATCCGGCGATGTGCCCTACCCAGGCATCTCCCACGCGCAGCAGACAGGGCTGGAGGATTTCATCTGCATCCCCGGCAACATCCGCATCACCTCAACCGCCGGTCTGCAAGTCTACAACGTGACGGCCGAGCGGCAGATCTTTGAAGGGTTCAAGCGCCGCGTGCGGAAGGAGCCGGAGCTGGCTGCGGGAACCGCCATCCTGCACGAGGGGTACTCTACCGCGGCAGTGGGGACTTTTGACTCAGCCAGCTCGGCGTATCCGTTCCGTGCGGATCACCATCTCATGCTGTTTGATGCGATCGTGCCGCCTAACAATAAGAAGCTGGAGAAGGCTGCTTGGAAGTGGGCGGACGAGGTTCGTGAGTTGTGGAATAAAGGCCAGCCTGGGCGTCCGGTCGATGCGTATGTGAATTATGCGAATGGGTTTGAGCCCTTGGAGCAGATTTACGGCCAGGAACCCTGGCGTCTGCAGAGGCTGCGCGCGTTGAAGAGGAAGTATGATCCGCAGAATCGGTTCCGGTACTATAACCCTATTGTGAAGGGGGATTGAGACTTTCAGGGGTAGATTTGGGGTTTGTTTACTTCAGGGGCTACACTTGGTACCGCACTCTCCTTTTAGATTTCCTTGGTATATTCTTCGTGCTCAGGCACTAGTTCGTGTATGAATTGGTTAAACTATATGGACATTCAACACATTCTCAAGCGCTATAGCGGTATATCCCAAAGTACAGAATCCGAATCTGCCCCTTTTCGACGGCGCGGGCCATGCGCGAGTCAATTTGAATGAACCTAAAAATGGGGCTTCAAGTAGTTTTGCCCAAGACATGCCAAGAATAGTGAAATTTTCATTGAAAGATCTCTGAAATCTTATGAAAATCAAAAAAACGGAGTTCATCAATACCTCTTCGAGCATTACCCGCGCCATGAAATCGAGTGCAGATTCGGATTCTCCAGGCTTAAATGCACCTATACAAGTAGTTTTTGTCACGAACAGACCTTACTGGCGGCCAGGCATGGTCACAGCCGCAGCGCGGGGAGCCGCGGCAGCCAATCCAATCAGAATGGATCACTAGGGAAGGAGAGTGAGCCAACATAAGGATCACTGGGATCACGAAGTGAGCCAGGTGAGCCAGCACAAAGATCACTAGGAGCAAGGAGTGATCCTCAAAGACAATCATTAGTATATTAGATAGCTAGCTATTCCCTTGGAGGACCTGCCAAAGGTTCTCCAGTAAGCAATGCAAGCAGTTGTCTTTACTACTGTGTGAACACTTGCTTGTGCACTTGTTGTAGACCCTTTGGCTCTACCGAACCT